TTCCCAATCCCATTTTTTTTCACTTTCTTTAAAAAAAGGGCAGGAAAAAAAAACTTTTTTTCCAATTAAAAAGTTTTTTTTTTTTTTTTTTTTTTTTTTTTTTGTTAAATTGTTTCAACAAGTTTTGTTTTTGTCAATGGTCAATCTTATGTCAATAAAAAAATGATGGTTGAATTCATTCGAGCGATAAATTGTTTGTTGCTATAAAAACAAACCTGGACCAAATTTCAGATTCAAAATTTATCCAAAAATGATTATCAGTTCTTTGAACTTTGATAATCAAATATGGAAAAAAAATGAATCCAACATAAATCATTTTAGTAATCAATCCATACATTCATCGTTTGTCTGCATTTTTTTAGATTTTCATTCAAAATTTTCTTTCTTTTTAATCAACATAATCGAAAAATGGAAATCAATTACAGACATGGCTTGCCGGTTTGGCCAGCACAACAACAACAACAAAAAAAGATGATCAAATCGACAGAACAGATCGGATTCGATCAAAATGATGATACATCATGATCATCATCAATGTTTAGAATGGGGCAAAAGGAAAACTAATAATAATAATAAACGAATTCCAATGGCTAGCATCTTTTATTTTTTGGCTTGTTATTGTTTGATCATTTATATAAACATTCACAGATCGTTGGACATGTATAGCAAAAAATAATAATATCCGATCAAATAATTTACATCGGTTGCTTATTTGATCGACTGGTTGCCAATCAAAGAAAAAAAAAGATGAAGCTTTTCAGCAACCAAAAAAACCAGACCTTAAAAAAAGGAGTAGAATGCATCTTGTTCAAACAATTGAACAATTTTCTATTTGTGAAGTAGAAAATTTTCTTAAAAACATCGACCATCATCATCCTCGATTAATGATGGCCGTCAATCGAATGTCATGTTTTGGTATTTATATTTTTGATCGTTTTTTGCATCGTGGTTGATTGTAATATTTTAGTTATGATTGAAAAAACAAGCCAACTATATGGACAATACATCATAAATTTTAGTTGTAATGTTGTTGAATGATGATCTATTTAGCTGAATTTTTTTTATAGCCCTAAGTAAATTGTTCTTGTTTTCTTTTTGGGGTTAATCGACTTTTTTGTCGGGCATATACGAAAAATTGACAATAAAATTATCCGGTGATTTTGAATATATTTTTGGAAGCAAACATTGCTGCCACCTGTTGATCAAAATTCAAAAATGTTTTTTTTTTCAAATCAGATTTGATTACAGAGCAAGAATGTACAGGAAATAGTAGTTCACGTGAACAACGTGATGGGCGATTTATCGATTTATTCATTCAAATATTCCTGGAAAAATTCTTTTTACGGATTATATAATCATTATTGACGCATATCAAGTATTGATTTACGAATAAGAAAATCTAATTTCCTTTGTAAAAACAAAATATTCTCATCATTCGAAATCAAAATCATCACACGCTTATGCATACAGAACAGATTTCACTTGTAATTTCCGCTATTAAGGCGTCATGCATACGTACACTCTCTCTCACACATAAACACGTACATTGCAGAGACGATGGACAATTACTTTTTTTTGTGTTAAATTTTACGAAAAAAAAATGATAATTATCATGATTCAAACAGGAAAAAACCCTATCCGAATACAACAACAATGAAAATTTGTTTACTTTCATTTTTTAAATTAACTTGCATTTCATTTTATTAGGATAGTTTAATTGGAAAATTTTGGAACAGAAATAAAGAAAAAGAAAAGAGTCTATCGTTATCAAATGCTTGAAAGAAATTTCGAAAATTTCTGATTTTTTCTGTGTGCACGCTTCTCTTTCTTTCTTTTTCCTTTTTCCTTTCATTCATGAGACCCTGTGTTTTGTTTCTATATGAAAAATGATGATGACAAAATAAAAAATATTCATTTCGATCAACAATTTGGTTGGTGAATCCAAAAGAAAGATACAAAATTGTTTTCGATTTTCTTGTTATAACAAGTGTAAACACTGTTTATCTGATTGGATTTTACATTTCACATATGTTACGCGTATCACATTCGATCTTTATTTTTTTTCCCACATCATTTATTTCATTCCAACTTGAAGCTCGAACACATACAACATAAATGTCACTTCGAAAACATCATTAAATTGAAAAACTATTTCGAAAAAAAAAAATTTCAAACGTAACATTAACGTCATTTTCACTTTCATTTTTCTGTTTGTTTGTGTTCGATTCAATCATTTGAATGGCAAAAAAATTTGATTTATTTCAATTAAAAGTGTTCAATTTATATAATCATCATCATCATCAGCATTCATTTCATTGAATAACATCGCAAACATTTGGATTTGGTTACAAATACAAATTCCAAAATAACAAAAAAGTTTGTATATGTTTTTTTTTGTTTTTTTCCCATAACAGCACAACTGTTGAATTATAACTTCATAGATCAAAAATGTGATTCTATTTAAATGTTTACGGTATACCGCAATCTGATTCAATATGATCTCTTTTTGTTTTGTTGTTTTTTTTTGATGTTACATTTACATTTTCGATGGTGATTATTCCTATGAAATTATTTAACTTGACATCAATTTTTTTGTTTTTTTGCTGTTTTCAACAACAATATCACAAAAAATAAAAGTTTTATGATTGAAATTATGATCAAATTTTTGAGCAATCTTTCTTAACAAATTGTTTTTCATACCTGTTTTTGTATGATTAAAACTTTTTTATCGATAAACAAAACAGCAACAACGACAAAATATGAATCAAACTCCAAAAAAAAATAATAGATTGTCGTTAAGATTTTAATTTTTATTATTATTATTGTCGTTGTTTACAGAAATTTTTTTTCCTATTTTGATCTTATCAACATTTTTATTTAGGAGAAAAACAAAACGAAAAAATTTAATCTCATTCTGAAATGATCCATTAAATTGTTTCCGAAGGTGTTATTTTTATTTTTGTTCAGTTTGTTCATTCATTCATTGTGTTATGGTTGGCTGTTTCAAAAACAGGAATTCCTATTTTGCTGTGATATGTCAATTTCGTTTTAAAAAATAAATAGTGTTTGTGTGATTCGTAATTGATTCTCACTTTGAAATTTTGAAAGTGTTTTTGTTGTGTCTGTGTGTGTGGTAAATATACTAAAATTTTTTTTTGTTTGTTGGAACTTTGTTGAAATCATTCATTCATTTCCTCTACCTGTATTAATATCATTTGCTTCTAATCATTAAAAAATCATCATCATCATTTTTGGTGACTTATGACATTAGTGGAGATGGTATGGTATCCATCAATCATAAATGACATCGGAAATAACGGTAATATCAGCAAACAGGTAGAAAAATGATCAATAATATATCATCATTACAATCATCAATGATCATCATTATCGTTAAACTCTTTGAAATTTAGAAATTTTCTTCGATATTAAGGAGAAATTTTTGTTGTTGTTGTTGAATTTCCTTAGTTGGATTTATTCGATATGATTTCAAATGAATGAATGAAAAGCTTATTGTTGATTGATGAGTTTTGATTTGATTTTTCTGTTTTTTTTTCGTCTTGTGTATCCATTGTTCCATTATAAGTATTTATTGTATTGAATTTTGAAAATGAAACTAATAAGAAATGAATCTATCGGATTAGATTCGATAATCTATGGTTCATTTTTGTTCTTGTTGATATAATGCAATGCAATATCAATATATTACCAAACATCATAGATTCCATTTAAATACGTCAATAGAACGTTGTTCCATAAAAGATTGATTTCTTGCGTTTGATTTACGTTTGCTGATCATCATCATCACATGGTTTTTCCTTTTTTTTTCTTCTTTTGTTTTGTTTTTTTTTTGATATGATGACATGACAGTTCAACATTTTCATCATCATCATCATCATTTCATTATTATTTACAGGATTTAATGTTGTTGTCGTTCAGCGACATTATTGTCTTGTTGTGAATCTGCCAAACGGTAATAGTGCATGAATGACTCAATGATACTAAAATAACTCTTCTAGATGATTTATTAAGCTTATATGACTATATGAATTTTTTTTATATATATTTTTTTCGACATTTATTTTGGTTGGGCAATGCTAGAAATGAATTGATAATAGTTGGTTGGCTGTATACACTAAAATAATCAACACTTGTTGTTGTTGTTGTTGTCGTTCATTGATGTTGATGTCATCAAGTTTTCGTCATTTTAATCATTGTCACCGTCGTTGTCAACAAAAAAAAATTTTATATCGGTTGTCGTGGATTACTTGAATTGATTTTTGTTTTGATCAATGAAACAGACAAACAACCAAATAAAAAAAACTACGCACCACACAATTTTATTAATATTTAGTTGTCAAAAAATAAAAATCAAATGTCGATTTGATCAATTTGTTATAGATAAAATTTTTTTATATTTACTAAACAACAATTTCCTGAGTGTAATTCCCATAATAAAACTAATAGTTAAAAAATTGATCTAATTTTTTATTTGTTTTTCCCCATTCAGATAATTCATCTTTATATTGAAAAGATTTTCGATTCTTGATTTACATTTAAACAATTATAATCATGGGTAACATTTTATCAAGTTTCTTTTCTCGAAAACAACATGAAAATTCAAAAAAATCAAATGTTTCAGCAAATAATATTCATAATTGTCAAAGAAATGAAAACGATGAGAAATTATGTCGATCATCAACTAAAAAATCAAAAAAATCAAATATTGATCCTAACAAAGTTTTACATAATACTTATGATCAACAAAACTACTGTGAACCAAATCAGAACGATTCAGTTTTAAAATCGAAAAATGGTGAAAGCGAAAGTGATAACCAAAAAGATCATTCACCATTTCAACGTGATTTCTATCAACCACCACATGAAATATTAGTACCATTGGAAAAATATCGTCCACGTCGTTCAAACATACGACGTTCGGCACGAATAAATCCAATCAAATCAAATCATCTCGAAGAATTCAATGTTGATATTGCACCAAAACTATATGGTAAGTGTAATCATTATTGATTTTTTGTTTTCAATCAGTTTATTCTTTTTTATTATTTAGTGGAAGAGACGATCTCAAAACCACCGAAATCTGATTATAAACCTGAAACATCATATGTTGATAATCAAAATGATGAAAAAGTTGAAAACGACAAAGAAGATGAAAACATTGTTGATGATTTGGATCCAAGTGAACGAACAAAAGTAGTTCGATCAAAAATATCTGAACTTCTTCGTCGACAACAGCAACAACAACAACAACAACAACACCAATCAGCATTATTATTGAATAATCAAAGAAAATATAAAAGTGTCTTTGAACCTGGTCTCGATTATTATAAATCATCAACAAATGATATACAATTAGATTTACCGGAAAAGATTGTAGACGATGAAACATCACCAACAAATGAAGAAACTCCAAATGATGTTCTACGTCGACCAAAAAAGACAATGATGGCTATCCATGGTAATGCATTGCTTATTGATGAACTTAAAAAACGTCAATCACATTTTCATGAATCACGCGAACCACATCATCATCATCTCCATCATCATCATCAGATTAATTCAATGGCTTCAGTCCAATAAAAAAACAAAAGTGATTTCTCATAATATCTGTTGCATATTTATAAATATAGTTACCCATTTCAGTTTTACATTATCTTTTTTTGTTGTTGTTGTTGTAAATATTTTTAAAATATTTGGAAAATGTTTTTTATATTTTGAATTTTGAATCCAAATTAAAAACAATTGGTATTTTTTAAAAAAACAAACATTAAATATATGTTATTTTTTAAAAATTTGATTCAAACTTGTTATTGAATTAACTTTTTGATTATCTTTATCAATATCATTGTTTTTCTTTCCTATAACACTATCAAACCATGGATGCATTAATGCCTGTTCAACTGTTATTCTTTCATCAATATCCGGATTCAATAATTGTTTAAGTAATGAATATAATTTACGATCAGCTTTTATTAAATGATTCGGTTGCCATTGTTTATTTTGTATATCTTCATAAAGACGCTGTAAACCGGCAGTAGTTCGTAAATCAGATCCACTACCAAATGGAAATTCCATCGTTACTAATGTAAAGATTAATACACCTAAACTAAAACAATCAGCTATAAATGGATTGAATGGTGCAGCACGATGCAATGTTTCCGGTGCTTTATATTCAAGTGTACCACAAAATGTTGTACATGGAATAACGTTATTGGTTTTGGGATCCAAACTTATTTGAGCATATGTAAAATCACTTAATTTAGCAACGCCTTGACAAAGAAGAACATTATCCGCTTTGACATCAAGATGAGCTATACCTTTTGAATGTAAATACACAAGCCCTTGTATAATTTGTACGGCCCATTGTTTGGCACGTTTTATGTCAACACTTGCGGTTTGGCGTTCAATATAGCTCATCAGATCACCATCGGTTCCAAATTCGCTAATTATGATTGAACATTCATCATCCGTAAGAACTTCTTCAGTTCGTATTATATTTGGATGATTAAGTGATGTGACTAGTTTCATTTCATTTGGTAAAAATCTTTTACGTATTAAATCCGAAAGCTTATTGTAATCAACAATTTTTGCTGCATAAAGTTGATCATTTCTTGAAACTTTATATACTTTTGATGTACTACCTTTATCAATAAATTTTACAATATTATAGTTGAATTTTTTCAATAATTTTTTGGCTGCTGAAGGTATTTCTTCTTCATCATCATGCATTGTATCGAGTAAATGTGAATTACATAATGATGATATTTCGCTAAACAATGGTGTTGTTGATTTTGATTTTACATGATCATTGCAAACGCAAGATTTTAATGGCTGACTTTTACTTTGATTGCTCATTCTAATTATCCAATTATCCACAATTCAAAAGTTTTTTTTAAAAATCAGTTTTTATCAGTCCCAAATCAAAAAAAAAAAAAAAAAATATTCGATAAAATTAAATTTCGAACTAAACTTGGTTAATTAATTTCTTTTTATTATTACAATAATAAAGATTTTTTGGCAAAATGAAACAATTAGGAATGTAATTTTATAGGTTTTATAAATGATTATCATCATCATTATCATTAAAATATGGAACTAATTTATGATATTGGAATGGTCGTACTCTTGAACAAATATAATCATGATTCCAATCACCCGGTTGCATTGGACTTGTTGAAACGCATTTTAATCCTCGTGCACAACCACAAGTCTGTGTGAAAAAGAAAAATTACTGATTACAAAATGTTTTTGTTTTGTTTAGATAAAGACATACCGGCATCCTGAAACGATAAAAACAAGTTTCGCCAGATCGTTCATAATCAAGACAGAATTTCTTTCCCATTGGTGATTCAATACAGCATTGATTTTCATTACAATCATTTGATGTTTGACAATATTTTCTTGTGATTGCGGCAAATGATGAACATATAAAATGACTAGATAATAAAAACAACAACAATAGGCAAAACATTCGTGAGTTGGTTTGATTTAATGAATTCGTTGCCATTTTTAAGTTTGTTCAATTTTATCGACAACTAATATAGGTAGAGTAAATTATATCGTTGTTATTTTATTGAAATTATCGAAAATGCCAACAAAGGAAGTGAAAACTAGGATAACAACATACGTCACATTGGTCAAATTGAATACAATATGATGTTATCATAACGAACGATAAAAAACAAAATATCAAAAACAAAAAAAAAACTTCAAATTAGCTCAAATATTAACCATGAAAAAAATGTATGGAAAAAAATTGACCAGATCAAGATTAAAGCGTTTTTCATAATGAAACAACAACAACAAAAAATTCTAACGATAAGCACATAATCTCAGAGAGAAATTCAACAATAAAAACATCTCGCAATTATTAAACACTTGCACAAGAAAACGACAAACAAATTATTATTATTAATCTATTTATTTATTAATTAAGTTTCGTCAAACACCACGAGTTAGCGAGAAAATTTTTTGTTTGTTTGTATCACTTACATTTGTTGATTATATTCTCACTTATAATTATGGTAGCATGTGAAAAACAAAATCAAGATGTTAATGATTTGAAGAGAAAATAACCTTAAAATGTTTGAATAAAAACTATTTCACTTTAAATGTTTAATTACTATCTCTCTCTTTTAATCTGTCATACAGGAATGAATAATATGAAATTCAGATTTGAAATGAATGGAATACATGAACTTTCCGAAGAAACAAAAAAAAAGATCGCCAGTAGTCAAATGATGATATTTTGCAAAAAAAGTTTTTTTTCAAGTAAATTCATCCAGCAAATGATATATTCAATACCATTATATTTGATATTTCTTTCCATCATGAATCAATAATTTCTCTTTCATTCTATTTTTTCATAGAAAGTACCGCCTAACTGAATTCCAATGAATAGTTTTAATTTCACCATGAATTGATTGAATGATTGATTGATTGATTCAAGTTCATTAACAAAAGTTATTGAATATTTTCAAACAATTCTTTACAATCATTTTATTCAAGGTGTTGCAATAAATAGCATATATGCAATAATATTGGGCAAAACCTGATGAAAACATTCATCAATAAAGATGTCAATTTTCAAGGATTTTGATTTTCTAATTACAATTCAATTTTTAATGGCATTTCTATATCATGTGTTTGTGAGCATCATTTATTTTCCATACCAGAATGATGATGATGATGATGATAAACAAAAAAATTTTAAAAATTTCGTAGTATTTTTAGGAGTGTAGTCTTAACCATTATCAGAAATTATTATTATTATTTTAGGAATTATTGGTTGTTTTTGTACCCATATTAACAAAGGACAATTAGAAAAAAAAACAGATCGATTTAATTAAGTTATTATGAATGAATCATGTGATTAATCGAAAAGATGTGTCAATTTACGATGATTTTACCTGTCACACTTGTACTAAATTTAATCAATTTTCTAGAAAAAAATTAATAAATATTGAGGTACTTTATGTATAAAATAAGCAAAAAAAACGAAAATTAATCCCAAAACACTTGATCGGATTTTGATAAGATTTTTAGATAATTGGATGAAAATGATTTATAAATCCGAAATATTCTCATATTTATCGTGTTGTAGCCATATCGCAACAGTGTTTGATTTTCCGAAAAAAAAACTTGACTTTTGTTCAAAATGAATCAATTACTTCAATTAACCACTTTTGCCATTTTGTTTACTATTGGTAAGTATATGAATTTATCTTAAACTAAATTCTAATAAATAAATTTATCGAAACGAAAAAGTTTTATCGGTTCCCATAACCGGTGATCATAGTAAAAAACAATTTGAAGATGAATGTAAACAGGCAAAAAATTACCTGACGTCTGCCATAAAACAATATGAAGATAATGTTTATGTTCAAACTTTTGGCAAAGTTCTTATTGATGGAATAAATCGATTAGAAGTGAGTAAAAAATTCAAAGTTAAATAGTTAAATAGTATTAATCATTTGACGACTATTACAGAAAAGAACCGATGAAGTCATTAAAAATACAACCGATGAGGCTAAAAAACAAGAAGCAATTAATTTTGGTTATGAATCATGTGAACGAGCTTACCTTTTCATAAAGGATATTGAGGATAAATTGAAACAATAAAGAGATCAATTGAAAAAAAATTCAAAGAGCGTCAATTTTTGAAATTTAAATCATTGTAACTAATATGGGTCAATAAATAAAAATTAATAATTTAAATTATCAAAGAATATTTTGTTTAATTAATAGAGGTATCTATATATTGAATCACAATCAGGAATGAAAATTTCAATTTATGAAAAACAATCTCGAAGTAAACAACAACAATAATTACAGCAACAAAATAAACAGAATAAATGTTTACATTTCGAATAGGTATTTCTTTTCATATCATCATTATTATTTTTTTCAATGATTTGATCATTTCTTATTTTTGAATGTTGACCATTTTGAACAATATGTTCTTGATGTTCATTATCGATATATGATTCCAATTCTGTATCCAATGATAATGGTTTTAATGTCCATGTTTCATCACTGCCATCTTCGTCTTCATCAGTATCACCTTTAATGGTTATTAAAAAATTTTCTTTTTCATCGGAATTTTGTATCGATATTTTTGCTGCTGATACATCTGAATTCACCAAATTTATTCCTTGTTGTTTACGTTTTTTAAATAATCTATCTTTTGATGCTGTGGACAATGTTGTTGAATTTGTTTGTCGTTCAGATTCGATGTTATTATCAGTATTATTCGATAGAGAATGATCAATATTGTCAAGTAATTCTTTAGGTACACCAGATTTTCTCAATGCAATTCGATATGAATTTGATCGCCGTATACTTGGTGAGTTCTACGTCATATGGAAAAGAAACATGAAAAATTTTATTCATTATTTTTACAAAAACAAAATATATTACCATTAATTCTGTTGACATTTTCGAATCGTGTGTGTGTGTGTGTCAATGGACAAAAAATGGAATTTGAAATCGGTAGGATGTTGTTTTAGTTGTCAAAAATATTATTAGTTTCAACCAGTCATTGGATGATCATTTTTTTCTTAACAATCATCACATTATCAATACCATGCAATAATTTTGTATTAAAATGTGATAACAAACAAAATACAGACATGTTTGTAATCAAAATCAAAATCGATGTTGTTGTCGCCATCGTTAATAATGATGATAATAATGAATGCTGGTTGTTGTCGCCATTTAATAGAGTCAATATTATTGTTATCAAAATTCATTTGTTTACTATTGCTATGGATTTTATAATGCCCTTAAGTATATTTCGAATGAATTTTGAAGCATCCAGATGTTTTAATCCAAAATCACGTTTTCATCCGTTATTTGATTATACACATATTTCTCATTCAAAATAACAATGTCGATGATTATAATAATGATCATAATGATGAAAAACAACAATAACGATAATACAGAAACAATATCAAGAAAGTGGGTGTATGTATGTGTCTGTGTGTATATACGATGATTTAAATAAATAAATAAATGAATGAATTAAAGATATTTTTAGGCAATAAAACATTTGTTAATAAATTCTAATTTGATCATTTTCCAAATAATTTTTTTCTAGTTTTATTGCAATTTGTGATAATATACAGAGATACAAATAGCAGTAAATGTATAATGGATTATTTTTTCAAAAAAAAAATCAAGGAAGGAACATTGTTGAGCATAGCAACAGCATAACAATCAAAATTTGATATGATAATCACTATGGATATCTTGGAGATTACTTAATTTAAGGCACTGAATGAATTGAAAAAAAATATTCGAACTAATTGTTGAATAATTCGATTCTTAAAAAAAAATTCAAATTCAATTAATATGTTTGTTTACTTTAAATTCATTTTTCATTTGGGAAACAAAAAAGTTTCAAGATTGATTCGTTTTTTTATATATTAGTAGGAAAATGTCATCGATCAATGATGAAGAACAAGATGATATTGGAAATCAAAAAAGTGAAAAAACCATGTGTCAAGATTTGTCAAGAATTGATTTGAATAAAGAATCACCAGTACAAGGAACAATAGAAGAAACTACCACAGACAATTCGATAATCGTAGATGATGATAATGATGATCAACAAGATAAAGCCATGGAAATTGAAAATGAACCAATATTCACACAAAAAACTGGCTGGCAAAAATATTTTGGACAAGGTGGTGATCCAGGATTCAAATGTAATAGTGGTTCTGATGAAGAAAATAATGATGATGATGATGATGGACAAATTCCAATGCTTTATCAAATAGATGAAGATTCATGGGAATCATATTTTGAAGAAGATTTTGAAGATTTTGATTATTATTGAAATTTGAAAGGAACTTTATTAAAATTTTCATTTTTTTGTTTCCTTTGATATTTTTTTGCTTTGTTCTTTCGCTGTTCATAAATGATAGGATGACATGTGTTTTTGTTGTTGTTATGAAGACTATAGTCAATATGATTATAATCAAGATTTTGTTAAATTATCAAATCAATTTTTCTTCCAAAACGCTAAAATTAATGGGGCTTATGTGTCCTGATTGATGTGTACTCAATTAATTTAGGTATAAATTACTGATTGTCAATGTTGCAATCATCTAAATTTATCATTTCAGTTCATTTATTATTTACTAAAAGGAAAAATGAAACGGTTTAAATTTGCTGCCAATCTCACAACATTATTCAAAGATATTCCCGATCATATCGAGAGTTACAAAGAAATTCTCAACAGGTAATAAGACATCCAGTTTCAAATTTTTAATCATTTTCTTTATGCAGAAAAGATTTTCGATTTAAAGCAGTTGAAGCTCAAGATCCGTATCAAAATTCATTAAATGATTGGAAAAATGTGATTGAAAAAGCGGGCGATTCTCGTCCGGAATTTGTTTTGATCAATAGCGTCAATCTGATGAAGAAATATCCAGAATTTCCAACAGAAAAACAGTTCGAAAATGAATTAAATCTTTTGGGAGAGTATGTTAAAACATTGAATGTCCGTAAAGTTCATATGATGTTAACCCTTACTGAATCGAATACTATTGATGAAAGAACAAAAAAATTATTGATTCAAGGAGCACGTTTCCTTAATCGTATGAATGTAATGTGTTTAATCGAGCCGCTATATTTAAATGGTATTCCATACTATTTACGATCATATGACGATGCATTGAATCTGGTGAAAGAATTAAATGAACCAAATCTAAAAATTATGTTCGATACATATCATTGTCAACGACTTCATGGTAATATATGCCATTATATTGATCTATTGAAAGATCATATTGGACATGTACAAATATCACAAGTACCACTTCGTGACAATCCTTTCAATGATGGTGAACTTAATCATGATTTTATTCTTAGAAAACTATCAACTGTTTACGATGATTATATCGGATTGGAATACTATTCCGGTATGTAAAAACAAGAAATAAAACGCATAAATTTTTTTTTTTTAAAGTTGTACATTTTGTTTTGTAAATACAGATCATGCGACTGACACTTTTGATTGGGTGAAAAAATACGTCGAATAGAATAATCCTGATAATGACGAAATTATGGCTGTTGTTGTTGCTAAAAGCCATATGATTTTTATGTACACATCATTGAATAAGAAAATAAAAAATCGAAATTTCAATTTCCTTATTTTTTTATCGTTTCACTTGTCTTCCGTCACTATTTTTTTTTTAATTATTAATTTCTCTATATTTTCATTTGTTATTGAAGTATATAACGGGTGAATTCATTGTCAACCAAATGGATGAATAGAAATGATTAATTTATTGTTACCAGACAAAATTAATGACTTGACACATTCTTCAAATCTATTTTTTTCATCTCATGTTATAATCTTGTTGTTGCTTTGATTGAGAAAAGGAATAAAAATCTGTTTTCTGAATACCTTAAAAAAACCTTGTCTCTTTTACATCTTGATTTTCACAAACGAAAGGTTGTCACATACATACTTTGAAAACAAAAACAAAAAAATATGTATGCGAAAGTTTTTTTTTTGTTGCTTGACTTTGTAGCCACCACCATAACATTTGATGATTCTATCGGAATTTAACTCCTTGATGAATTTGAATCATCCGTGTGACCGTATTTTTTATTTATTCATACTTCACACAGCAAACAAGCAAACAAGAATTGGATAACATTCAAGAAAAAAAAAATATTTCGTTCCCATTCCCACTATTTGACACTAAATTATTTGATACCAAAAATATTTTTTTTTTCATTTTTGATTTAACAATCGTCATTCATTGAGAGCATTCCTTTTGTCTTTTTTAAAATAGTTTTTTTTTCTCTCGGTAATTTAATCCGAAACATAGTTAACAAATATTATCTCGTTTCAAATCATTCGATCAGAAAAGAAACTGTTTTTTTTCTGTTAGATTTTATTAGAAAAATAAATTGAGTGGTGGGTGTTTTTTTTATACAATTATTATTATTGAAGCATGAAAACCAAAACAAAAAAAATTATTATAATTAACAAAGAAAAAAAAACATCATTAATTGAATTTTCAAAAGAATTATGCAAAAATTATTTATTTAATTGATAAATTTTTTGGCAGTTGAACATTGTTGAAAAATTGTTCAAATTCTTTTTTTTCATTTGGATCAAAATCTTGTAGACAAAAATCAAAATCATAATAAATATTTTCATGTTTTTGTACAAAATCGATAATCATTTCAAATGTTTTTGTATCGATTTTTGGTCTAGTATCAAAACCAATTGATCGTATTTGTGGTGCAGCATTTAAAAATGTTTTCAAACCAATAGTAGATACATCAGGTGAACATAAACCACCAACTCTTAATGTTTGTAATTTTTTCAATCCAATTAATGAATTAAGTAGAACATCATTGAAAAAATACATTCGTTGTAAATGTAAAACATTACAATTGGGAAAACTATAGACAAGTTGTTTGAGATGTGTACATTGATATAAACGTGGATAGGCAAGATCTAATTGATTCAATGATGGCATAACAGGAAAATTAAGACCTTTATTATACATTGATATCGATATACTAAGATGAGGTAATGTTTTGAAACAGGTTAATGCCTGTAATACATGATTGATGAAAAAATCTTGATGTCCAATAAAATCAATACCTAAATGTTGAATTTTTTTACAATCTTGTGCAATACCATCCAGGCCGTTATTAATCCATAAAAAATCAGCATCATAACCACCATTATATTTTAATGTTAGTATACATTCACGTAGATTACGAAATTTACAAATACCTAATGGAAATATAAAATTAACCATATAATGATGTCGTGCAATATAATCAACAAGCTCGACTTTAATCTTTTCCAAACGATTCATATAGACATCGGAAAATTTTTCCAATTGATTAACACCTTCTTCATTGATCACTTTTAAATAACAAGATTTTAAATTAGGTAATACAACATCTTTAGAATTTTCTTTTTCCAAACAAAATTCATCACAATATTCAACGGCTTCTGTTTCGACATTATTTTCATCATTTGTATAATCATTATCAAGAATTGTATTGAAAACATTATTCCATAATTTTTCATTCAAAAATTCCGAACCATTTAATGAAACTAAATTTGAACAATGTTTTAATAGAGCAAAACTATTTGGAATTTTTGTATTGCTCACAATGCTTGATTTAACAACACGAAGACTGTGACCAAATCGTTTGCCAAAAGCATCCAATGTTTTTTCGCTTACATTGAAAAAATTAGCATCCATTCTTCGTATTCGAACACAATGACGCATCAAACATTCAAATATTTCATCCATGTTTGATGTATCAAGATTGTAATGGATGGCGAAATCATCGATGTAACGAAATTTTGATAAAATTTTATCGAATAATTGAATATCAATCTTATGTATAACATTAAAATCACCAACAAAACGTTTTAGAAGAATATTTTTTACTTTTGACCATTCATTACAGCTTGGTGCTATAACAAATCGATATTGTCGTCTAAAAATGGTTCGTTTAAATTGTTGTGATACAAATTCTAATCGAATTTTATCTTCGGGTGGAAGATACATAAGAATTTCTTCACATAAATAATCACTAATCCTACTGAACGAATTTCTAGCCATTGTTGATGATGATGATGATAATGGTGACCGATTGTTGAACATTTTTGATGATGATGATCACACATTTACAAATGAATGAATGACTTAGTTTATTGAATGACAAAAACAAAAGATTGTTGAACAAACAGAAAAAAAGAAACTGATATTAAACACACACACACACAATGTTTGAATGAAGAATTGTCATCAGAATTTTTTTAACTTGTCTCTATGATTGACGCTTGTCTGACTTGTTGCTAATAAACATCAGAATTTTCAAATGATTATTTTCTGTATGCTAAATTGCCTATTATATAAAAGGCTTAATTTTCACAAACATCAGGCATCAACAGGAATTTTTTTGGTAACAAAGACATCATCTCAATTCAGCTACACTACACAATAATAAAATTTTCTTCGTTCATTCTCATTCATTTATAATTTGTTATATAAAAATTCAAATGAATTGGAATTATTATTTCGATGCCAACGAAATATACATTGAAAAAAAAACAGAAGAATTCTATATGGCAAGTATGTCAATAACACCATTTCACTTATACATGACATGTGATGTTTATAATTTGTTTTTCATGCCACTTCTTCATCAAAAACAAGAAAGAAAAGAATCATCGACGTCATAATAATCATCTTTTCTGAAGTAATATGGATAAAGAGGTGCGAAGATTCTTTTCCTTTTTGAACACATCGTATTCAACAAATGAATCATAAACAGCAACAGAAAAAAAAACAATAACCTAAGAACATGCCCTCGATGAATTACGTCAATTGGTTTTTTGAAAACTTTTTCTAAAATAATGATGGAGGCGTCGTTACGCCTACACACCAAAGCACACAACAAAATTTATCTTTTTTTTTCAAAATTCCATTAATCGTTGTATCCAAATGAAATTGTTTTATTGTTTTGTTTTCTGTGTTGCAACAATGTTTCTTCAACAGAATCGTCATTAATTTTTTTTTAAAGAATCAATAAATCAATCATTGAAATTTCAAAGAAAACAAAATCACAAATTAATGTTCACATTTAGAATGTCACAATATTTATGTTGAATCAAATCAATAAAAAATCATAAAATTCATTCAGAAAACAATCAAGGATTTCAATGATTTTGAGTAGAATCGATTGCCAATTTTTAGCATGAGATCAATTAGATGAATATTTGGATATTGTTTTTGCCTTGACATTCAAAAAAAAAAACGAAATCGGTTTAAATCAAATGACCTAATTTTGTTATTCAAGTGGAAAAAAACAACAAAACAGAATTGACACATTTAACGAAGAAAAAAACAAAACAAGAACATAAATCAAGTGTGAAAAATGAACAGAAATCCGGTAAACTCTTTAATACGGAGATTAAGAACGGAAAAAAACAAAAATCGGATATTTTTGTTTTATTATGAACGGAAAATTGTGTCACATGTGTTGACATTGATGACAACGTCATCATTCGAATCATTACCAACAACAACAACAATTATGAAAAATGAAAGTGCAGAATATTCTTTTGGCTATAATTTCGATCTATTTTGAGAAATTTTTTATAAAATAAATAAATAAACCATAGTTCCGGATATATGGCGTCAGATAACATCATAACAAAGACAAATGTAAGAAAAACACAAACAAAACAGTTGCAATAGTTTCTGAATTTACATTTTAAAAATATACCAATTCTTTGGAGAAAATAATAAGTTTTCAAAAAAAAAGCTATTAAGCGATATAATTAGCCCAAAACAACCATAGTTTGTTCCTGGAAATTTTTCATATCTCGGTGACATTTCAGCCAATAAATTTACCGCACGTTTATTGTGATTGTCGTTATCGATCATCATAATCTATTGTCGTCAACTTTTGGCTCAGGCAAATTACCTTATACGATTGAAAATATAAAAAACCCTTTCTTTATTTGAAAAAAAAGATTTTGAAAACTAAAATAGACGTCCATCATTGTCAACCCAAACATAATCGTTGTACAGGTTCGATATGTTATTTAGATTTTATGGTTTCTCGCTTTTATTATGTTTAGAAGATTGAAAATGGACTTTTATTCGACTAATACTGGTCCAATGACGACTTTGTTGTCGTCGTTATTGTTGTCCAAATATCGTTAGGGCAGAATAACAACAACAACAACAACAACAACAGCAACTAAAAAAAACCTGTTGTCTAGACTTTGGAATTTTGAAATCAAGGTGAATCATCATTCAACGAAGAAAACATTATTGATTTAGCAATTCGGTTGGAATGGGGAAAAATAAATTGATGAAGGGAAACCAAAACAACTAACAAATACGAATTGGATCGAAATCGAAAATATCCAATTTTCACACATGATTTTCATTTTGATTAGGCAAGGAAAAAAAACTTGTATAAACAATTAAAGAGAACCTGTTCGATGTTTGCATCTGTACACAACAAACATAAACAACGTTAAAAGTTCATTGAATTTGGGATGCTTTATTTTTGCAAACATGAACCATCAAGCATTTCTACTTTTTTTAGTATTTTGATTTTATTTTTCTTAGTTTAATTTCAATTAATATTGATCAAAGTTGTTTAGGTTTATTTTCGTTAAAAAAGTCGTCATCACCATTATCATTGCCGTCAACACTTATGGTCGTTGATGAATTTTGTTTTTCTTCAAAATTTATGGCAATGAAAATAAACTGTCGGTGATGGATGGATTGAATCGATCATCGAAAATGACTAAACTAAAGTTATTAATGATGTTTTCAAAAGAATTTGCTTTTTTTTTCTTTGCTATAGCAAAACAGTAAGAAAGTAATAATAAATTTGCATCGTTTGAAATGATGAAAAGTAGGAAGGACAGAAAAAAAAACAAATTCCCAAGTTCCTATTGACAAGCGATGATAATTTAATAGAATTTTCACTGTTTCCATTTTGTTGTTGATGCGTAGTTATGATGATGATGATGATGATAATAATAATAATAAGGCCAGAAACGCCAAAAGGAAGTACATAATAATAGATCATTTAAAATGTTTTCAACAACGTTGTTTTTTAGTTACAAAATGGCCATTTTTTTATAATTATTGGTATAAGTGTTGAATTTGTCGAAAAATTGATCCGAATTTTTCCCCACCAAAACAAAAAATTGATGTAAATTTGATTGTTTATCATAACAATCATTCATTGAATTCAATCCAATTTTCAAGGTTTTCAAAAAAAAAAAACATTATTTTAATTATAACCAATGATGATCATTATTGAACGAATTATTGTTTCTCTCTCTCTTACTCACTCTGTCGTTCATCACTGATGATAATAATAGGTTTTATGTCAACAATTTTTAGTTTATCCATTTATGTAAAGGAGGGTAAATATCATTATGTCGTTCAAATCTGGAGTTTTTTCTTTTTCGTTTTGTTTTGCTTTCAGTCACACACACACACAAGTGATGATTCTTGAAACAATTCAATTTCAGAAAAACGATCATTTAGATTCTTTTCATTTTTTTTTTGTTCTGGTTCTATTTGTTGATCATTATCATCATCTCGATCATCATTAGTAATAATAACAACCAAAAAACAAAAAACATTTAAACATTGTTTATCTAAAAACAACATTTTGCTCTACACATTTTTCTCTCACTTTCTCCTCATCATTTGGTAATATGAGATTCCTTACTTTCATTTTTTTCCTCCTGTCTGATACTTGTAAGCATGAACCATGGAATTTTGGCTGATCATATCGAATGACGACGACAACAACAACAAACGATTGAAACAATGTTTTCTTTTCTTCGTTGATGCAAATGAACATTGTATGTTAGACAGACAGTTTTGTTCCGTTGTCGGTTTAGATTAATTTTTTTTTTCTTTTGGAATCTTGATTGGCTTGAATTGGTGTATGAAAATAATTTTTTCTGAAAAAAAATGATCAACAACAACAACAACAAGAAACACACGCACATGGATAATTAAATTGTACCATCAATCCATCAAACTTTAGTTTTTGTCTGATGAAGAAAATTCTTATGACCAACACAAAAACAAAATGATCTCATGAATTTTTCGGCGGCTTTTTTTTGAAAAAAAGTTTATGTTCATAGCCATCATCATCAGCTTTCAAAATTAATTAGAAAATTTTTATTCTTAGCTGTCGTTATAATGTTTGTTTTTGTTTATATTTGGTTATGTAATGTGAAAGATTTACAAAATTGTTATCATCATCATCATATCAGATGTGATGATATAACATGAATGTTTTTCTCATCATCATCATCATCATTATCTCTATTTTTTGAACGAAAATCCTTTCATCATCTTATCATTTTTTTTTGTACATACACATGATGAACACACGACCGGACAAGGTCGTCGTAATCATTTTTTTATTTCATGATCAAAACAACCTAAAAAGAATATGACCATTTTTCTGTTTTTCTTGTCGTTGTTAACATTTGATCATTTATGAGTTAGCTTCCACTTTTTTTTTTGTTCTCCATTGGCAAAGAACAAAGAACGATGAAGGAAACAAAAATCATATAAATAAACGAAAACGAAACTTTTAAAAGTTTTTTTCCCGATCATTTCAAGTAGAGACGAATCTTGTATAGAAAGGTCCAAATGGCCCCTCGATCGAATTGAATTGAATTGAAAGTTAGCAGGAAAAAAAATAACGATTGATGATGATAATAGTCATGGCTGGTATATGGTCATATTCAATGCTTGTCTTCGTTTATTAAGATTCTTTTTTCTTTCCTTTCGATATTCAAGCTGAAAGTTGTTTTAGCAAAATAAGAAACAAAAAAGTGACCAGCGTATAACATTTGCCTTATGGGCAAATATCGAAATTGTTTTTTTTTCTTCTTCGTCATTTCACAACATTCAACAAATATTCAAAATCTTTCAAGACAACAACAAAAGTCGAATGATAATTCGAATGTAAAAAAAGACGATCTTTTTTTTTCTTATGCTTCTTGATGGTCGTCGTTCGATTGGTTGTTCAAGTTGGTCGTTCGGTCGGTTCGTTGGAAGTATGAAGACAAAGTCGTCGTAGTCGTCGTCGTCGAAGACCACAAACGTTTAAAAACAACTATGGACAGTATTGTTGTTGTTGTTGATGATAAAAACATAAGCAATAAAGTAGGATAAGGACAAGACACCCCGGCTCTTTTACATTGGCTTCGAATCTGGCATTTTCTTGTTTCCATACTCCCCCCACTCGTTTTTTTTTCATATATATGGAATAGCACGAGAATTGAGAAAAAAAATGTGTTCAAAACACACAACACACAATACACACGCAAAGCAACAAGTATTTTTTTTTTTTTTTTGGTTTTCTTGTTTCTGAAAACCTAAGATACAGAGTGGTATGTGCTTGATGATGATGATGATGATCAGCAACAAAAACAACAACAACAAGTCCAATCATTCGAACCATTTAGAATTCTTGTCCATCAAGTAAGAAAAAAATCTAATCGTAACTTTTCATTTTATGTTTTTCAATTCTGTGTGTGTGTGTGTATGTGACCAACCACTTGTATTATTTCGAGTTTTGATTTTCATTGCACGACGGTCAACAAAATTTTCACTGCTAATCTTGAAGTTAATCTTTTTTTTCCAAAAAAAAGAGAAAGTTATGAATTTTAGATATGAAAATACAATCGGTTTTTGTGTTCAGGTGAACATTCGAATATTTTAATCCAACAACAACAAAAAAAAAAATGTGCCAAACAGAACAACAATCATCAACAACCAAAATAACATAAGGTTAATTTTGCCGCCAATTTTTTTCAACCATTTTTTCAGTTCAATAATAATTCGAATCAACATCCCGAAAAAAAAACCAATCAATCCACTCAACGAAAACAAAAAAAAAACTGTAAACAAGTGCCATTTGTTTCCAATTACCTAAGAAATTAGCATTTTATTTCATCATCATCATCATCATCATCATCATCTGAAATTCTATCTTTATTCAATTTCGAAATATTTCAATACGACTGTGATTTTGATCTCGACAACAAAAAAAAATTATTCCAATCAAATCATCATCTTTGTTTTCTAATCTAATTTAAAATAAATATCCAAAATCAGATAAAAATTCATTATCATTGTATGTGTTTGTACTCATTTGTAATTGTTTCATTTGCATTTCATCATCATCATCATCATCTTAATTTTATTATTGAATGAATGATCTTTACACATTATAAACAAATTTTTTTAACAAAAGGTATTTGTTTTTTTTATTGATCTTCTTATTCTTCCAAACCATCCATATTACCATTGGTTACCTGATTTGATGATTAGAAATAGAGTGAAAGTGAAAAAAAAAGACAAACGGATCCAACAATAAATCACAAGTTGGATGACAAGAGAAAATATTTTTGTGATATGATTCAATAGCATCAATAATATTTGAAAATTCATTATTCTTATAGAAAATTATTAACAATTAATACGTAAAACAAACGTAATCAACTAACTAATATACCTTCTTTTGTTATTTGATCTCATTTGCCCTTTGCATTGTGTTCAACAGGTGTATCACGCACACCAACATAACACACACACACACACACTCATAATCGAAAATTTGGTAAGAAATGTTTGTTTGTTAACTTAAATACCTATCAAAAGGTATCATATTTTTTTTTTCTCCTTTCGATGGATATTTATCTTTATAACCGGCAATCGCTTCACCAAAGTGATGAATGCTAATTCTTTTTGTTGTTGTTACAAATCTAATCATTTTTCCTATTTTTTTTCACTTTGGTTACCTGGTTGGTCTTAGTTATTGTTATCGTTTTCATTCTTAGAAGAGCAATGTTTAGTGATAACAAAAAAGAAAAGAAAAATTTAGTTGCATGTATATCAATGGAGTCTTAAGGCTTTCTTGTGATGATGATGATGACTATGTTTGATTTGTGATTGATTCAATATTGCACACTGTTCTTCTCTTAACATTGATGATGATGATGATTCAAAAATTAACTATTTTATCTGTTTTGTTGAATAAAATTCTTGGAATTTTGGTTTATGATTTAACTTGAATTTAATTTTTTGTTTGTTTGTTTGTTTTTTTACTTCAATATATTTGATTTCCATGTTTTAGGTCATTTTATCTCATACATTCGACGAATTCGTAACTAAAAATATTTTGATAATCATCATCATCATCATAATCAATATTTTAAATATAATCTCTTATTAAGTGTTCATCAACATTGAAATTTAATAGTGAAATATGCCTTTCAATTCATTATTCAATATATCATCACCATATGTAAAACGTTTACTTGGATGGAAACAAGGTGATGAAGAAGAAAAATGGGCTGAAAAAGCTGTTGATTCATTAGTAAAACGATTGAAAAAAAGTAAAGGTGCACTTGAAGATCTTGAATATGCACTTTCACATCCAGGTCAACCATCAAAATGTGTTACAATACCACGATCATTGGATGGACGTTTACAAGTATCACATCGAAAAGGTTTACCACATGTTATCTATTGTCGTGTTTGGCGTTGGCCCGATCTACAATCTCATCATGAGCTTAAACCTGATGAACGTTGTCAATATCCATTTTCATCAAAACAAAAAGATGTTTGCATCAATCCTTATCATTATCGCCGTGTAGAATCTCCAAGTAATTTTTATTATCATTATTATTGCCAAATTCATAATCATTTTATTTTTTCAAATTATAGTTTTGCCACCTGTTCTTGTGCCAAGATTTTATGATAACATGAATGGTAATATGAACGGCAATATGAATGGTAATATAATTCAATCGGGCAATTCACCATTGTCTAATTTTCGAAACGTAAGTTTTATCAACTAAATCCAAAATAATCAAACAATAAATTTTATTTTTTAAAATCAGATTCAAGATTCAACAATGTCTCCAAATGGAGGATATGAAAATGATAAATACATTTCGATGACTAACGGTAGTAGTCCAATTTCAATGATATCATCTCCATCACCAAATTCGATGATGTCATCTCCATCTCCTCATTCAATGATGTCATCACCATCTCCACCAGCATCCTATAATTCACTTATGTCTCCATCACCACCATCAAATTATCCAATGAATGCTCCATCACCATCATCGAATGGACCAACATCACCAAATTATAATCGTATGTCCCTAAATGAACTATTGTCAATTTACTAATGATTATTTTTTCAGTTCAAGCTGATTCACCACCGCCATATACACCACACCGACCGATGGAACATCATTCACGATCATTGCAACGTGTAGAATATCATGAACCAGCTCATTGGTGTTCTATAGCTTATTATGAGCTTAATACAAGAGTTGGTGAAATTTTTCATGCTACAACTAGCCAGATTGTGATTGATGGTTTTACTGATCCAAACAATAATAACAATCGTTACTGTTTAGGATTATTGTCAAATGTTAATAGAAATTCAACAATAGAAAATACACGTAGACATATTGGTAAAGGTGTACAATTATGGTATGTTGGTGGTGAAGTTTTTGCCGAATGTCTATCCGATTCACCAATATTTGTACAATCACGTAATTGTAATCGTTCGAATGGTTTTCATCCAACTACTGTGTGCAAAATACCAAACAACTGTACGTTGAAAATTTTTGACAATCAAGAATTTGCTAGTCTGTTGGCCAATGCTGTTAATGAAGGATTTGAATCCGTATTTGAATTGGTCAAAATGTGTACAATTCGTATGTCATTTGTTAAAGGTTGGGGTGCTGAATATCATCGTCAGGATGTAACATCTACACCATGTTGGATCGAAATTCATCTTAATGGAGCATTATTATGGTTGGATAAAGTATTAACACAGATGGGATCACCAGCAAATGCCATTTCTAGCGTTTCGTAAAAATCTTATTCACAGGAATTCACACTTTTTTTTGACATACACAGATTTATACAAACATTCTATTGATTTACAAATACATCATACTCATCATAAACAGGCGATCACTGACAAAAAACACACACACACACACACACACAGAATCATTCATCATGTTTCCAAACACCAATTGATTCTATTCAAAATTAAAATTATATTCCATATTGTTTCGATTACTTGCACATTTTATCTGTCCAATAACAAAAAAAACTGCCAAATAATGGCATTGTTTGAAAACAAAACACAAAAACGAAGAGCCACATCGTCATAAACTCTTTCAATATGACAATAATACTATTAGATCTGAGTTTTGTGATGTGATAGGAACACATTCTGATGCGGCAACTATAGATGGATGTCATATTGCTATTCATTCGTTACAATCAAACGTTAGACAAACAAACAAACGTATATGTTGTTTATTTCAATTATTGGCGTTTTTTTTCGTTTGTTTGTTTGTAACTTTTGACTTTTGTCGGACCAAAATTGGTGAAGTAAATATGAAAATGAACGAAAGAAAAAAAAAGAGAGACATATGGAGAGATTTATATATCTCTTTTCAAAAATGCAATATATTTTCTCCTACGCAGCAACAATTTCTTTTTATTATGTTACCATTTATTGCCATGACCTAATACGATGATGATGTTTAGCTACAACATTGTTCATGAGTGAAAAAACTTTCTGTTTTTTATTGTCAGATTTGATGATTGATTTTATTGATTGTTTTTTAAATCATTCGAATCAGAATATGATTCGAATTTTAACCGAATTTCGGTGTTCACGACCAATTTTAATACAACGAGCTTATTTTCAAATTGAACTCAAAGTCAACTTGCGCCATCTATTTGTAGATTAAAATTTTCAAAACATTTATTGAACTGTGTTCCGGTGGTGCCATTATTATTATTATTTTTACCACAACAACAAAAAACAATAAAAATAATAATCGTTCCAAACTGGTTCCAACAAGAGTCGTCTCCATAGTTCCACGTGTGCCATATGTATTTTTTTTTGTCTATAACTGAATTGATTAGTTTTGTTTACATGACAAAAATTTGACGAGCAATTTTTGGTTGATTGGAAGAAACAAAATTTTTCCTGATTCATTCATTTTACATATACCTCACCAATTCATTCTAATCACAACCGAATTCTTCTGACTAGTCGAACGAATTATTTATTTTATTTACCTTTCCAAAGAAAAATGTGACAGGTAATTGTTTTTATTTTAATATTATGATGAATATAATTCATTTTATAATTGCCATCATTGTTTTAGAGATGTTGGTAAAAATGAAATCTAATGGCAATCATACTTACGGTAAACAATCATTACGACGATCAACAAATCGTAAAAATCTTAAATTAAAATTACGAACACATCGTGAACATATGCAAATTGTAACGAATCGTAAACGTTCATTATATGTTGAATTTATCGATGAAAATATTGCTGTGCTTACAATCGAAACAGCTATCATCTATACGACAATTGGACATAATTATTTTGGAAAATTAAAATCACGAACCATGACCGACAATCATTGTCGAAATCTTGGTCTTGTATCTCGTTATTTCCATACTGATTTGGTTAAACTTATCTATGTAGAAGATATACCAAAAATACTTAATGATTTTGAATCGGGTAAATCCTTAAATCAGATTAAATATTCATCATGGCCAATATTGAAAATACCATCAAACATTCATGATCAATCGATGATGGCTATCTATAATAGGCCCGAATTATGTGATCGTCTGATTAATCGGCTGTTTGCCGTTCAAAGCACTTTATCTATGTCCATATATCGTACAACAACATTTACAAATCGTGTGATTAAAAGTATCAGTAATTTAATTGGTTTTTAAAAAAATGAACATTTAAAAATATTCTGAGATTGAAATAAATAAAAAAAATTTATTTAATTTTTTTGTTGCTGTTGTAAAATTGTTTCAAATTCAATTTCATTCATTGTACGAATGATGATCAATTCTTTTTTATCATCTTCACTAATCATATCTTGCATTTTTTTATGTGTAAGTACTAATATGGAAAAAATGCCAACATTTTTTGCACACTTAGCAGCGGCTGATGATTTTGTCAAATAAACAACATCACTTGGTGATTGATGAATTTGTTCTAAAATTTTTCTAAATGTTGCCTGATCTGTTGGCATACCCATTGATGTATCAAAATAATCATCAATCAATAATGACATATCACCATTATTTGTACGGGACATAAATACACGATTTGCTTCGGCCCAACCTTGACTATAAACATATAATGGAATATTATAATCACATCGCCATTTTTTCATCTGTATAGCAACATCCGAATAGATAGGTGTTTTTAAAAGACCTTTATCATAACCATCAAACCAAACATGAAATCTAATATTTCAAAAAAGAAAAAAAAATTTTAAGTTGTCGTTTTCATCTAATTATTCTTAGAATACCTTAATTGTGCAAATGCCAAACAATCAAGATTATTATCAATTAGGAAATTGACCAAATCGCTTACGGCTTGTTGAATTAATTCCAATGAATCTGTATCAGGAATTTGTGGCCAACTTGGATTACATCTGGCAGCTTTTCTTAACATGTTTATATCACGATTTATTTGTACATGACCCCAATTAATACCGATAAAACTTTTAACACTAATTCGAAGATAATGAACTAAAAATCTATTTACGAATGTCGTATTACTAGCAGTTCCAGTTATATCAAATATGATTGCTCTTGGTTTTGGTAAACGTAATTGAGGCATAATTAATCAAAAATAATAAATTATTAATATCTGCAGTATTAAATGTTTTAATTTCGGTTATATTTCATTCATAATTGATTGTTTGGAAAAATAACAACTTTAATCAAATTATAAATCGAGTATTAAAAAAATCTTTAAAATCATCAAGTTTAAAAATGTCTTCAAATTCTTTCTCGAATTGCATGAAAGGATCTGAATTTTGACGATTTTTTGAATTTCGTTCGCCATCCGGTTTTGGCCTGAAAAATTCATCAGCATCAACAAATTGATTTCGTGGATGTTTTTTGTCATTTTGGAAATTATTACTTTGCACTGAGCTATCAGGCGATGTACTTGGATTTGTTCTTGATTCTTGTTTTGTCACCTTTACTGGTACATATTGATTGGCTGAATCACTAATGAAAATAAAAATTATTTCTTGAATTTACCAATATAGTTCAATTACGACAAATTACCTTGGAAATTTTGAATCATCACTTTCAATTACATCTTCTCCAGATTGTCCCGAATGATTTTTAGTTTTTAATGTAGCCGAATCTTGATAAACGTTTTGATTGGCCGGATCTAGTTTATCGCGATTATAAATAACCGTACGAGTCAAATGTGGTCGGCTATTTTCCATTTGTAAACGACCATGTTTGGAAAATTTAGGTAGAAAAAGAAAATCTCTGTTAAATGGATTCAATAATGATGAACCAATGTTAGAGAATATAAAGAATAAACAAATAAAACAATACACAGATATTTTCGACATGATATTCGAAATAATTGTGATTATTTTTCAAAAAAAATGTAAAATTAAATTTGAATTTATCCTGTTGAAAATTTGTAATCTTTTTCGATAAAGAATTGATGTTTGTTTGGATTGGTGATGGTACGACAAAAATGCAAATGTCTCATTCTGATGATGAGTATAAGAATAGCCATTGGTTTTTTTTTTTGCTGACAACAGTAACACTTAAAATAGCAACAAAATCTTCAAAATTATGTTAATGAAGACATCGAAAACAATTAAAATGTGTGAATGACAATGAAAGAGATTTACATAGTTATTCGATAGTGGACGACGCAACTCATTATCATCATCATTGAAATCACGGCAATTATTTCATACCATCCAAATATTATTATACTCTTGGCATAATCATCATCATTATCATCATCAAAAAAAAGTGTTGCTTTAGTGCAACATTCATCAAATTTGAAAAATAAAGGAATCTCTTTTGTTTTGAAAAAATAATAAATTATTTTTATGGAAAAAAAAGAGAGAAAATTTATTTTTATGATAAATATATTCTATCTTCAATGTCATTGTATATGTTATCCATACTGTGATTGAATGATTACCACAAAATGGCAAAAAAAAAATGGTGTGGCAATTTTAGATTTTCAGTTTCTTCATCAAATGACAATTGTCAAATTGTATTGCTATTAAAACAAGATAAAATTTGACAAATTTTAATATTTCTATTAGCAATCAAACAAACTGTTTGTAATTGCGATTGGGCCAACAACAATTATATTAATAATAATAATAAAAGGGCAATAATTTTCATTCAATAACATAGAATTCTTTTTGCTTTTCTTTCGTTATTTCCGACATTGTTTGACCAGATTTTTGCAACATCATTGCTGTAGAAAAATGATCACGTACAGGTTTCGGTGGATGGATTTTCCTGCCACAATATCCATCTTTTTTGTGCCAGGCACCTGATTTTGGTCGCTTTCCCAACCAACGTCTTCGTTGAGGACACATAAGATCAATTTCATCGTGATAAGGATTTGAGCAACAACCGACTGTAACCATACAAGTTTGATCAATACAAAATTCACGTTTTCCTCTGCTTTCAACAAGATAATTACGACGGCCAACACGTCGAATCAATTCAGCATATTGACCAGCATAAAGTATGGTTGTTTTCGGTTCATTTGGTATTATTTGAACATTATGAACTTTAGTACCAATGGGTAATGCACCAATAGGATGAGAATCAGCTTCACGTGGTCGAATAGGATTGCGTGGTATATCTGAATAAGTACGGATAATATCACCAATTTGCATTTTCTCCGTGGCTACGATCCAACGGACACGATCACCTTAGAAAACAGATTTAATAATGGTTGATAGTGATAAAATTGCTAAAATACCTCCAGCAACTAATGCTAATTTTGTAGATCTTAAAGGATCATATCGTATGTTGAAAACTTTTTCCTCTCGTGGTGACCCATCTGGATTAACATGACGTTCATAATCGATCCAGCGAAAGTATTTCTTATTTCCTCCACCAATAGTTTTTACTACAACTCGTCCAGTTTCTGGATGACGACCACCAAGTTTTTTTATTTTGAGTGGTTTAATCGTATATTTATTATCTAATGGATAGATTGGTATCCAATTATATTTGGAAGATTCTGGCCGAACTATATTTGGTGGTAGTGGCCTAGGTGCACCACGAATTATTGGGAATACACGACGAAATCTGACCGGAATCAATGTTGGAACTATTGCATTATTGATTTGAGAAAACAATTGTGATGATGAATTTAATAATAAACGTAGATTATTCATTATCGATTCAAAATATTGGAATTTTTATCGAAAAAAAAATGATCCGCCAAATCAAACATGTGATGATTCTAATTTTATCGATTGTATTGATGTTTAATTCCAGATAATCGTCATTAGATGGCTCTGAATCATGAACAGAATCTTCATTGATCGCACGTGATTTTTAACATATTTTTTTTTGTCGAAGTCTATTTCACCTGATTTTTGATCCTATAGCATTTATCATAATCAATAATGGATTCAAACAATTTAACATCGACACAAAAAGCCGAATTGATCGATAACGTAAAAGAGCAGATAGCCGTTGCAACTATACAGGAGCTTTTATCCAAAATAACGAACAAATGTTTCGAAAAATGTATCAGCAAACCGGGAACAACTTTGGATAGTTCTGAAACAAAATGTTTAAATCATTGTGTGGATCGATTTTTCGATTCTTATAATATCGTATCGATGGCATACGGAAGTCGTGTTCAAAATGAATCACATCAATTTAGTTGAAGCTAGGGATTTTATTCATTAAAAATCCTTTTTTCTTCCTATATATTTTGCCGAAAAGATGAAGAAAATCAATTCAGTAGTATCTAACAAAAATAATAATATGATGTATGTTTGTTTTGTAAAATATATAATACTAGATTTAAAATTTATAATACTTGCCCCTTTCAATTTAACAAATGTTTGTTTGTTTAATTTGAATAAATGATTTGTTCTGATTAAAATGAAAATTGTTCGTATTGTTTTATTGATTTCGAAACCATTAAGTTTCGTTAATGATGATGATGATTTCATAACCAAATATCAGAAATCATTTGTGGAAAAACAAACAAATTCCTTTTTTTAAAAGAAAAAAAAGAAGAGACATTCAAAGAAAATAAGATGAAGTAAGATTCGTAAAGTAAAATTGTAATGATTACAAAGTTTGCCAAAAAAAAAATTGATTTTATTTTTTCTTCAAGCAAAATTCTAAACGTTGTTCTATCAAGAGAATATTCTCGATCATTTTGTATGAAAAATAATTAGGTTAAGAGAAAGAAAAACGTAGTGCCTATGGCCTTATGGCGAAAAAAAAAATTTAAATAATTGATTTGAATGAATGAAAAAGATACACAATTCGATAACAGTAACATACTTACATAAACTATTTAATTATCTTCAAACATTTTATTGACATTCATCGATCGATCATCAGTTACAGTAACGAATAATCAATAATAAATATAATGATTATTATTTGAATTCTGACGATGAAAAAAAACGAATGAATGATGAAATTCAAAAAAATGATGATAATCGAAATAATTTTAAAAATTATTCAAAACCGAATAAAAAATCAACGTAATGTATGTTTGTTTGTTTGATCACTTATTTTTTTCCTGTGGATAAAAAAATGCACTGAACGGATTTGTAATTTGATATTTATGAATTCATAATGTCAATAGAAAATTTTCATTTCTTCTTCTATTATTTACATATTGATTGAAAGAATTTTTTTTTCATTGAAAAAAAAATAAACTTTTGTCAAACATTTTTTTTTTTGCCCATATTGAACATCCATGTAAGACATTTTTTTTTTGTCGAATTCAGAAAGCCTTGAAGATAGATTGAAGAAAATTTTCGAAATTAAATTTTGCTTGTATTTTTCTCCGGAATTTCAATGACAATGAAATTTCATAATTTTTTTGGAGAGAAAAAAAAGAAAGAAAAAAAATTTCATTTTGTTCTTAATAATTGAAAATTGAAATATTCATTCAGACAATGTTCCGAATCTAATTGAATTTTTTGTTTTTGTTTTTTTGTTTTGTTTTGTCTGAATTGAATTGATGCAAATTCTGGGCACAAGAAAAAAAATGAAATTCATTTTATTCTTCAAATTGTTTTTTTGCAGATGAACACGATGGCCACTTTTGAACAAATCAAATTCTCCATCATACGTGACATTATTAAACTTTTTCTGGTCTGAAGATTTTTTCCAACAATGTAGAATGTGTACTTGATAATTTTTTTTCCTGATTGAAACAAAAAATGAAATTCTTCATAACGAAGATCATTGACACAGTGGGCAAAACAAATTGAATTTTGTTTTTGTTTTTTTTTGCAGTTGGAATCCTGGGCAATCCTCATGATAGCAAGGACATGATTGAACTAATCATAGATATAATTAAAATAGATTTACCTAGAAAGAAAATAACCTACTGTAGCAAAACTGAACTGAAAAAAAATGAAATTCAATGGATTATTGATCTGTGAATTCAAGAATTTCTTTCACTTTCTATATCGATTTAACTTATAATAATATTATTTTGCAATCATTTTTTTCCAAAAACAAAAAAAAAATTCCTACCAGCAAACGATTTATCTATAGAATGAAATAAAATCAATAGCAATTCATCATTTTATTTTCATTTATTTTTGTAGGGATTTTTTTTCTTTGCAGTTTCATTTTGTAAAACAAAAATGAAACTGAAAGAAAAAAAAACGATCATAGGGTAAAAATGAGAAAATGATGAAGCATCATTTTCATTTTCTCAATTTTTTTTTTCTTTGTCTGAAATGATTAATCCTATCGGATTCTCATTATTTCAAATATAAACGGATATCAACAACAACAACAAAAATGAGTCTAAAATCAAATACAACACAAGAGAAAATGAAAGATGAAGATAAATGTTGGATAGTGTATGTGTGTGTGTAATTATTTTTGATTTTTTCTTTTTACAACAATGCCTGTATCGATATGATCATCTATATTAACCCATCATATGATCAACTGAAGGATTTCCTATTTTCCAACATTAACTAAATACAGTTTCTATTACCCGAATGCATTGTTCAACCTTTCTTTAGATTTCTCTTATATGTACAAATATCGTGCATCCACACTAAAATCGACAAAAATAGAAAGTAAACGGAAAGAAATTAAACAAATTTTTTTTCCATGTATATTTCTTCAAAACAAAACAACAACAAAACAGATACAATTTCTAATGAAAATCAAACTTAAGAATTAGCAACAGAAAAAAAAGAATGAAATGAATGTTCGTAAAAACGTTTGTTTTGTTTCATCTTCTTATTTTTTTGTTTTGTTTTGTTGTCTTGGTATTTCCAATTAGATATTTATTAGACAATCTTTGTTCCTGTGTTTGTTTGTTTTTTTTTCAATTTTTTTTCAATTGTTTCAACAAAAAAAAAAGTTTTGGTTGGTTTAATTGGGAATTGTTTTGGTTGCTTACCACCATTTTTAAGATCACATATATGAAATAAGTGAAAAAAACAGTTGAGGGAGGAAAAATTCTTTTAAAGAATCCGACAGCCAATTAAAATTTTTCTTTTCTGTCGATTTAACTTTGTGATTCATTCCTGTAACGAATATAGATTGAGAAAAAAAACGAATGTCAATATTTAACATTTGAAAAATAGAAAGAAAATTCCGACATTCATTAAAAATCAAACAAAAAAAAAGGCATTAATTATCATGAGTTTTTTCTCCCAGTGACTGCTGATTAATGTTTGTAGAATCAAATGATTTGTTGTGTGTGTATTTGATAAACATGAACAAAGTGATTGAAGAAAAAATCCATGAATGTTGCAACAAATTATTGTAATTTTCAATTGTTTAATAAGTCATATCTTGATGTACTTATAAATAATTTTATTATCAATGGATAAATTATGATCCAAAAATGATAAACAAGTGTTAATGATGTATATTTTTGTTTCTACATCGTTTTGCTACTATTTTACTTGATCATTCATTCATTCATTCATTCATTCATTCATTTGAACATTAAATATGAAAACTATTTCATTCCGTTAATAGATGACCATTCATTAGTTGTTTTTTTGTGTCTATCTATGTATCACCCATTTAGAATGAGATTAGCACAATTATTCTCTCGTTGTAATGCTTGACTTACTTAATTTTTTTTTTCATTTCTCTGAACAAAATGATTCATGAATGTTTGTTAGTTTTTCATTTTCAGTGTTGCTATTCAATTCTCATTCGAATGAGACGATAAATGAATATTTATATTTGAAAAAAAGACCAGAAACCAAACAAAAAAAAAATCATCATCATATGGCTTTCATAAATGAATGAATTACAACGGATTCATTTCATTCGGAATTCTATTCAGCTTTTTTTTGGAATTTAACATTCCGCAACAAAAATGTCAAGGGTATCATAGAGAAAAACATTCAAAATGTTTTTTTTTGTTCAATTTGTTTGTTTGTCTGGTTTGTATTTTAAATTCAAACCAACATACGGAACAGATGTCAGATGATGTCTGTTGAAAACAGTAGTCATGTAGAGCGTAAATATATGATTCTTTATCAATAAAATTCATCATTGAAAAATACCTTGAATATTTTTGAAAACACAATGGAAAAAAAGAACATTCACGTCGAATGAACGTGGAGCAAGAATTTAAAAGAAAAACCCAAAACCAATAAATTAATTATTGTTTTTCATCGAAATTACATGGCTGAAGAATGTTAATGTTACAGTGAATCCAAGAATGACAAAAGAACAAGCAAAATTTCAAAATTTGAAAAACAATAACGAATTTTTTTCCAAATTGAAAATATTTTCATTGCAAACTACCCGCCAGCCACCTATTATCAAATCAAAAGGAAAGAAAATAACTTTTGAACAAAAAATTCTCTTTTTTTATTTTGATTAAAATTTTTCCACATTGCCGAATCAACAACAACAAGAAACGAATATCAACAAAAAAAAGGAGAAATTTCCTCAAGACAAACGTAATTTTTTTGTTGAAAATTTATTACATCGACGGAGAAAATATTTTCATTTCTTTTTTTGTTTTTGCTTTCTTCATATTTGGAAAGAAATCAACATCGATCAATTTTCGTTTGTTTTTTTGTTCAATGTTCAATATGAATTTGAAATTTTAAACATGAACTAAAAAAACGAAAATATCAATTTTTTTGAATGTCGAAACAAAATGATTTTTTGATTGAATAATCTGTTCGTGTGAAACAAACGAAAAGAAGACAAGAATTTCGGATTCCATTTTTTTTCATCATTCATTTTCATTTATTGAATTGGTAATGTTATTTGAAATAAAAAAATTCAATAAGGCCAAACCTGGAAAACCAGAAATCCAAAAATGATAATAAAAAATGAACCAGGTCATCATCGTCGTCGGTATTTATGTAATTCGGATTTCCGTTTTTTTTCCAAATAGATCCTCTTTTCGTTATTCATTTTCAATCATGTTTTCATATAAAAAAACAAAGATTTATAGAATACATAATTTACAGGAAGATAATCACCGGAATAATGGCATAATTGTTACAATTAATTTTGATGATGAAGAACTGAGCGGGTCGTCAAATGTTTCAATTTATTATGAAAATGTCATATGAACATGGATTGATTATGATAATGAAATTAATGGCAAAAATTAACTGTAAAAGCAGGTAAAAAACAAATAACAAAAAGTAATGTTATGTGGAAATATTTTTTCGTTATTTTTAATTTTTTTGAAAATTTCGAAATCTGATCTTGTTTAGAACGAAAAAAAAATGAATGAATGAATATTGACTTACAAAAATGACAATGTATATCCACAATCACTTGACAAAGAATTTGGTAATGTTTTTTTCTTCTTTTTATTCGGATTACATTTTTTATTTTCAATTTTTTGTTTTTAAGCCAACCAACGTTATGATTAAATATTCCATCAGAAGTTACTTACTGATTGAAATCGGTGTTTTTTTGTTTGTTTGTTTGTTTGTTTGCAAAATACGTGGAAAATTTCCGAGCTAGTTTATGTAACCAGAAAAAAGATTTTTTTTTCGATATTCATCATCTTTGACGAAACATGAAAAAAACGAAAAGAAAAGAATAAAAAAAACACTTTTAAATTATGCAGAATTACTTTCTTTTTATAAAACCATCCATTCTTTTAACCGATATTAATAAAATACTTGATGAATTCGATTTCCTATTAAAGAAATAAGACTTTTTTCGCTATTCATATGATGATGATGACGAAATACTGTAATGCGATTTTGTTTGTTTTTTGTTTTTCTTGACATTGTTTTGTGAACAGAATTTTCAAAAACAAACTTTAAAAAAAAGTCAAATAATAATATTTTATTAAGCGATTATTTTGCAATACATTATTTTGCAATACATTATTTTGCAATTATTTTGTATATAGAAACAAACAAAAAAATGCATTTATAATGCATTTTTAAATTTTTAAAACAAAGTAAAGAAAAAAAACACTGAGATTTTAGAAAGAAATCAAGAAAAAAAATATGATCGGATAGTGTGTGTTATATTCTGGATTCTGAATTCTGTAGCACAAAATCGAATGTCAGTTGCTGTTTCTTGATTTCATTAATAGATGGTGCGCTTTTTCAAATCAAATTTACAAACCACGTGTGTTTTTTTCATTCATTCTCGCTCAATTTTTGACTCAGTTGAAAGTTTTTTAATTATTTCTTCAAAAACGATGGCAAAACCTAAAGCTGATCAAAGTTTAATTAGAAAAATTCAAAAACCTAAAACACGTCGTGGTAAAAGAATTCTTGAAAAACGTGAACCACAATTAATTGAAGATGTTAAACGTGCTGTATTGTGTCGTTGTTCAACTGCTAATCAAAAAGGTGTTCAATTACTCAAAGATTTCAGTGCAATTAAAAAACCAAATGCAGTATTTTTAAATCGCAAAGAATCTTGGCAACCATTCAATGATGTTTCATCAATTGAATTTGTGTCCAGAAAAAATGATAGTGCACTTTTTGCCTATGCATCAAATTCAAAAAAACGTCCAAATAATATTGTGATTGGACGTACCTATGATGGAAATGTTCTTGATATGGCTGAATTTGAATTCAATAATTATCTTTCATTGTCTGAATTTCAAAAACCAAAAATCACTTTGGGCACTAAACCGATCATTTTATTCAGTGGTCAAATGTTCGAAACAATGCCCGATCATCAACGAATAAAATCATTATTACTTGATTTCTTTACCGGACCTAATGTTGAACAGATTAATCTTCATGGTTTAGAACATGTAATACATTTCATAGAAATTGATAGTATAATTAGTATGCGTTCATATAGAATATTATTGAAAAAATCTGGTTCACGTTTACCTCGTGTTGAATTGGAAGAGATTGGACCACGAGTAGATTTCACATTACGACGTACACAATTTGCTCCGGATGATCAGTTTAAAAAATCATTGAAACAACCAGATGCTGTATTACGAAAACAAGGCCAGAAAAGAAAACCCGAAGAAAAAAATATATCGGTCGATGTTTTTGGTACAACTTTAGGACGTATACATATGGAACAACAAGATTATAATAAATTACAATTACGAAAAGGTGGTGCATTCAAAGTGAAAAAATTTGATCAATAATGTAATTTAATGAAATTAATAATATTAGTTTTTTTTCCAATAATGTTTGATTTTAAATATTATATAAAAACAGAGATCTGATTTTCAATTTATAATTTAATTTAATTATTATTTTTCCCTTGTTCACCACACACACTGAAAACTAATAAATCTCATCCGAATATCCAATACGAATCACGATGATGTTTTTTTTTATATTTATTGGTTGATCCAGTATTTGATATTTGGGAAAAAAAAGCCATTATTTCAACAAGAAAAAATTATTATTATTACTAACCAATATGGTGGTTAATATATTGTTATAAAATAAGTATTATTATTATTATTATTATTTCGTTTCGATCGACAAAAAAAAAACATGGATACATACATACAACATCAGGAAAAAACACATGGGAATCGACGATAATAATAATAATAATAAAAAAATTCTTCAACATTATTTAACGATTATTGAATACAATGTTTGGTTGGTTGGTTGGTTGGTTGATGATCGCAATTCGTTCGTTCAATTTTTTTTCCTGGTGATCAATATTCACTTTTTTTTGAATCGTCAAATTTTGTACAATGTTTTTTTTCAATACTTTTTTCTCAAGTCAGAAAAAATTTAATTTATTTTAAATAATTTTATGTTGCTCATTTACGATGAACATTTTCAATATATAGATTCCAAAAAGGAAATGAAATGAAATAAATTACATTTGAAACATTTGATTTTGAACAAAATGAATCTCTTTTTGTTCCCCATGTGTTTAATGTAATGGAAATGATTATGATTATTATTATTGAAGATTGCTGTCGATAAATGATTGTTTTTTTTATTGTTTTGTAATTTTCCTAAATTCATTCATTTGTAAAAAAGGTGAAAACAATTCGAATTCGGTGATTTAACATGATTTTCGTTTTTTTTTTGAATGGTCATTTCGTTTGTTAAGAATATGCACATAATTCACCTTTTCGTGTGAATGTGAATTTTTCCCTTTACAAAGTTGATTCCATTATTTTTATTGCTTTAATTTATATATGTAATGTGTATATAAATAATGATCATTTCATTTTCTCATCATTATAAACAGAATATTTTAATTAACCTTAATTGGAATTTGAAACCTGACAACAACAATGTTTAAAAACAAATGATAATCATTTGAAAATAAAAAAAAAATAGATGAAATTCATTTATGCATAATATATTTAAAATGCCATTCGGTTTTTTTTCGATTTCATTATTGTAATTGTGTGTGTGTGTGTGTGTGTGTCATTAGATACAATAAAAAAACAATGTTTTTTTGTGGATTGTTTGCTGAACCATATAGTCAATTACAACAACCAGAATTATTGTTGTTTTTTGTTTTCCGCTGTAAACATATAATACAATGAAATTCAGAATAGAAATTAAATGAGACGTAATTAGTTTTGAATCAGTGAGGAAAACTTTAAATCAAATAACAACAACAACAACAACAGTGGAACAAAAATCAATACTAAAAGAAAATAATTTTTTCCATGTTACTTTTTCATTTATCATCATTTAAATTTGTCAATGAATTTCCGCGCTATTTTTTAGTTATTAGCCTTTTCAATTGAAAAAAGGGTTAATTTATATATTTGAAAACTGTTCTTTTCTAATTTTATGATTCATTGAAGAAATCAAAAACTTGTAGAAATAAAAACATTTTTGGATAAAATGAAATGATTATCAAAAGAAAAAAGGAAAGAAAAATATGACCTAGATATGATTATGAAACTAAACTTAATTCGATTCGTTTTTTCAATGATTTATTGTGGTTAAAAATTATAAATAAATAAAATAAACCCGACAATTTCGGCAAATTATTATTGAAAATGAAATTGAAAATCTAATTTATGATAAATATGTATGTGATTGATATATGAATTGATAGAAATTTTCCATTTAATGTAAACATTCCGTTTTACCAACAAACACTTATCAATCGTCAATGGATGATCGCATATAATAAATGAAATCTTATAGCTTTTTTCACATCATCATTTATTATTTGATAAAGTAAAAAAACTTCTATTCATTTTTTTTTCATTCAATTGATTCACATGTATGATAGATCAATCAATCAATCAATCAATCAATCAATCAACAATCAACCATGCCAGATTATAGAATGTTATTAAATCATCAACTATGTTAACTTAATTGCAAGAAGAAGTGGAAAAAAATTGATCTGGTGATTTTTTTTGTTTGTTTGTAATTTGTTTACGAATTTTTCGAAAATTACAATTCACATCCAAACACTTTTTTTCCGTGTTTTCTAATAATAATTGTTTTTTTTAAACTAGCGAAAATGTTTGGAACAAATTTAAAAGTAAATATATATTTTTAAAAGTATTTCTGATCATTATAATGTTGAATTTTCTTTTTCGTTGCTATTTTTAAGGATTTAATACGAACAAATAAACATTCGTTGACAACCATAATAGCCATTATATTTGGTCTTAGTTTAGGATTTGTATTTAGGATTTATGTTTGGCCAGATGAACATTCTATTGATAAACAAAAAATACGTTACCTTGAGCTACCAGGATTAATATTTTTACGATCATTTCGTTTATTATTAGCACCAGTGTTAATTACATCATTGACAACAAGTTTGTTTATTTGAAAAAATGAATAAATCCTCAATAAATTATATAATGCTTTATTTCATATAAGGTTTTTTCACTGACAAAGCTGATAATAATGAATCGAATGATTTACAACAACAAAGACCCGGAGGAAAATATGATCTACAAAAAGTGACTGCAATGTCATTCATATTTTTTATTTCATTTTCAATATTTACCTCAATTCTTGGTATAATAACGGTCAGTTTATTGAAACCAGGATCATCAAAAATTGCTACAGAATCATTATTGGAAACATTAAATTATACAAATTATGATCCAATAAAATTGAATCAAGAATCATTTCGAAAAAGCCATTATCAAATGGATTCTGTTTATAATATTATTCTGTATGTAATATTTTGATTTGATTTGAAATGAAAATTGATGGAAAATTATTATTTTTTTTTCTTAAGAAATATCTTTCCCGATAATCCATTGACACCATTCTTCATGAAATCCTATGAACAAACAGAATTTATTTGGCCACAAAATTTAAGTGAAATCAATGATCAAAATTATGTACCAAGAAATAAAATTCGTACATTACATTCATTTGATCCGAATATGTTAGGAATTTGTGTATTATCAATTTCATTAGGTTTTATCTTATCAAAACTTCCATCATATAAAACTGAAACTATTCGTGCATTATTAAATGAATTGGATGTGGTTGTAAAATATTTACTTGATATTATGATTCGGTTAGTATTATTATATAAACATTTATAAAACTTACAATTTATCAATAATGATGATAATTAATTTGTATTAATTTTAATCATAGTATTATGCCTATTGGAATGTTTTGCTGGATGTTTACCGAAAGTTTGAAAATGAAATCCTTAAACAAAATGGTCAGCCAATTATTCTACTTTTATTTGATTGCTATTTTTTTGTTTCTTTTTATTTGGTTCATCTTTTATCCGGCAATTCATTTTGTCATTACACGAAACAATCCATATCGTATACATCGTGGAGTTTTTCCATCATTATTAGTTGCAGCTGCATCATGTTCAAGTGCACTTGCATTACCGGTTACAATGGAATGTATGGAAAATCATTTGAAATTACCGAAAATCATTTCGAAAATGGTTTTACCACTTGGAATGACTATCCATATGAACGGATCTTCTATGTACTATCCAATGGTTGCTGTATTTATTTCACAAGTAAAACAAGTTCCACAAAATTTTCTCACATTAAGCATTCTATGGTAAGGAATAGATTTAATGCAAATTCAATCATTAACACTTGATTATCTTCATCATTATTCATGCATTTTTTTCGATTATATGGGGATTCTCATTCATTTTCATTATTCATCATCATCATCATCATCATTAAGCATCTTTTCATTAGTCATGTCGATGGGATTCCCGGGTGTTCCAGCTGGTGGTACGACATTAGTTTCACATTTGGCCTTTGCATCCGTTTTAGGAATCGATAACCCACAAGAAATTATTGTCTTAGTGTTAACTTTTGATTGGATTTTGTAAGTGTATTTTTATGATACCATCATCATTATTGATAGCAGAAAGAAAAACTAACCATTTTTTTTGTTATCCTTTTATCGTTTCAATCATATATGAAAAACACTTATCTTTTTATCGGAAATAGTGAACGTTTACGTACCATAACTAATGTAATGGGTGATTGTTTTGTGGCTAAATGTTTAGAAAAATTAACTGCTATTAAACCATCTAAAATATCATCATCAAACAATATGGCTATCACTGATGAAGATATGGCATTAAATAATTTTGAAAAACAGCTTGGATAATTGAATAAAAATTAAATGACTATTATTGTAAATTGAAATAAGTGAAAACAAAAAACAACGACGACGATGACGATGAAATTAATTTTCATCATAAAAATCTGTGAAATAATAATAATAATAATAATAATAATAATGATCATCATCATTTACCATTACACAGCGTCCAATTTAAATCATTATTATTTTTTTTAATATGAAAGAATTTTTTCACACGTAATTGAAGTTATATAACATACATATGACATACATACAGGAATCCATTATTCTAATTATTATTTACAATTGATAATAATAAACAATATTTTTTAATTTTATTCATTCGATTAAAGTTAAATTCACGGTTTTTTCCTTTCAATTAGTTTTTACCTTGCATCATTTTACCAATCACCATCATCAATTTTTTTGTTTTTTGTTTGGGATAGCCAACATGATTTATATGGAAAACAACAACATTTTTTTGAAACCATCATATAATAATGCTGAATATAATGGCCCATTATACTCTTTTATTTTCCATGGCTAATTTTTAACGATGATAATGAAAAACTCTAAATCAAAATAAGCAAGAAAAAAAGCAAAAGCAAAAAATCAATTTCAAATAGGATATTGTGTTTTTTTTTATTTTGGATATGGATGTACAGTATTGCTATTATAATATATCAATATATACCGATATGGCGTAATGTCTACAATGTTTTTTTCTTGTTTGGTTTTTATAACTTTATCAGATGAAATTAATTTTCATCAAAAAAAAAAAATACCACCAAATTGAAAGAGCGAAAAAAAGACCCGAGCATGTAATATATTAATCTGTGGATTTTTTTTCCATTTTTTTTCATATTCACTTTGATGGTAAAAATCCAATTTATGATGATTAGGTTTTTTTAGTTTTTATTTTTTTCTTCGTTCATTCTCCAACAGCGAGACATATATTAATTGCATTTTTTTTCATTGGTGGTGGTGGTTAACTGTTTTTCTTTATCACTTGCTTAACATAATAATCATTAAAGAACTTGTCATGTAATGTTTGTGTATGTGTGTGTCGTTAATCAAATTATTCAATAAATTCATTTGATTCAATAATCCCATTAACAATAATGGCAAATTTTTTTTGTTTTTGCGGGGATTTTATTCATCTAAGTTATGGATGTGAAGATTTTTGGTTTTCTTGGTTGATAAAACACTTAATGAATAAATAAAAATGTAAAAAAAAAGATTAAATGGATTAGGTAATATTGCATTTTTTTTGCATTTCAATAACCATAAATGATAATCGATTGCCATAAATGAAAAATAAATTCATGTTTGTTGTGAAAACATTGAAATTATAAAATATTTAGGTAAACAAGCATTTCAATTTGGATTTCTGGCTTAACAAAAATAAACATTATTTCATTTGAATGATGAAATCATCCATATGAACAAAATCTGGTCATATGAATTTTCTGTCTTCTTCAAAATCCATATCACTTAAATTGGTTGAAAATCTTTTTTTTTCCATTAAATGTTGAATTATGTTTTTCCTAAGAAAAAGAAGAAAATTGATAATATTTTTCCAATTTTTTTCCTGTTCTGTTAACCCTTTCATCGAAAAATGAGAAGAGTGCTTCCAGACTAAAAAAAAAATTAATTTTGATAAACGAAACAAAAGAATTCATTTTTTTTCCAAATTAAACTTACATACAAAGCACTTGTCACAATCAGATGTTGTACCCATATTATATTCATCATTCTCAATAGGTTTCTTTATTTCGGAATTTCATAAATGAAACTTGCAATAATTATTTCTTACTTTTATATAGAATCTAAAAGTAAACTTCTTCTTTGTTTTTCTCGCTGAATACAGAACAAAAAAAAATCTAAATGTTCTTAGTTTAAGCGTTTTCCAAAGAAAAAAGCAACCGAAACAAAAGCCAGAATCATTTCAATGAAGACGTCAAAGTTGAAGAATGCCCGTAATCCTTGAATGAAAAACAAACCCAAATTAATCCATAAAGAGATAACACAAGTATTTCATTTAAGGATTGACTTTTTTTTTGAAAAAATTTTACATAAAAAACCGAAATTTTTTTGGAATTTTATTCTCTTATGAATGATGATTAACTTTACAAATCATCAGTATCATTATTTAAAAAAAAGTCAGAAAATGTTTGTTCAGGTTTATAATCTGTCTTATAGTTACTTTTTTTTTGTTTGGTTTCCGTAAAAAAAACAAATTCCAAACATATTGTTGTTGTTTTGGGAATAATAAAAAAACAAGACAACCAAACTAGAATGAAACATGACTTGGGACGTATGAAACAAAACTATTGCATAACAAACAACCAAAAAAAAATTTTGACAAGGATAAAGCTGAATATCATGGTAAAAAACGTCATATCCAGATGATGATGATTTTATAACAACAACGGGGAAAAAAATGACGTAGAAAATATTTTCGTATATAACACAAAGAAGAATGCATCGAAAAATTGTCACCGTTCAATGTAGAACCAGAAAAAAAATTGACGAATGAGGTACAATCTGCGGATAAACACAGTAAATGACAGGAACGCTAGAAAGAAGAAAAAGAAAAAGATCACTAGCACACAAATGATCCAAATAGATTGAAAAAAAATGAAAAGAATTTTAATACGGCTTACGATTGCCAGTTTGGAAAAAAAACGATTGAAGGCCATATAGCGAAAAAAAACGATCAAAACGAATCGAATATTTATATATTTTCAGGAATTTTATAGAGAAAAAGAAAAAAATAATTTGATGGATGGGTTGTCATATTGTCAACATGGTTAAAAATGTATGCTTTGAATTGAACCATTGAACGAAACCATTTAATGTCCATTCAATCGAATAAAAAAGTGAGAATTCCAAAAACTTTTTACAAAGTTGTTGTCATCACCAATCTTTGGATGATTTTGAAATTCAATTTCAAAGTTTAACCAAAACGATTCTTATTCATTTTTCTTTCATTTGAAAATAAAGTTTTTCACTTATTTCAATCAAATTTGAAATTCAGTCGATCGTTTTTTCCATTTTACCACTTTATTCCATTCAGATAATATGATTTTTGATAAATCCTTTTACTTAAATTATTCGAACAAACGAATGTTTATAAACCACGAAAAAAAATCATCTTATTAATCTTTGCTTGAAGATTATTTCTTGTTCATATATAAGCATTTTTTGTCATGATGATAATAAATCATAACGAATGTTATTTCGAATGACAAAACTAAAACGTTTTTCATTTCATTTCGTATTTTTTTCCAACTGTAATTCAAGAAAAATAAAATAAAATTCATTTATTTATGTGTTTTGAATAAATTCTTTTGGATTATAAATGATTTTTACAATACCTTTTATTTTGGTCATTCTTTGTTTCTGTTTTTTTCGTCTCATAGCATTAATCATAAAATGAAACTTTCGAATATCTTGTTGAAAGTAAGAATTATGAACAATAATTATAACAATTGAAATGAATTATTGAACAAGAATCAACAAAAATTTTGTTGTTGTTGTTGTTGTTTAAAATAAAAAGCCATCAAATTATTGTTCAATTTACTTTTGCCCCACAAACAAACAAAAAATCATCAATCTTTGAAAAGAGAAATTAGAAAATTCAACAAAATGGATTCAAAGATTGATCGAACAGATGTAATAGATTGAAAGAATTCGTAATTTAATTTTTCATCGGTGATTAATTGAAAATTTCAACCAATTTCATCAGCCAATCTTTCTTTTTTTGCTCTCCGTTGTCGAATGTTTTTTTTGTCGGTCTATTTTAACGAAAGACATTATGTTAAGTTGAAATAGTTTCGAATCTATTTGGTTTTTTTCTCGAAAATTCGCAAGTCCAAACAAAACAAAACAAAAAATCGAACAAATTCAAACTCGCTGCGGGCTGGGCACACTCGCTCATGATTGGCTGGTTCGGTGCATCCCCCAATTTCAATATTTTCCGTTCGGAAAAAAAACATTCGATTTCTTTTCCGGGGGGGGAATATTCCAACCATGAACTTATGAAGTGAAAAAAAATGAAAAATATAGTTTCTCTCTTGGGAAGTTTATTATTATTTTTCAGGTTTAAAATGATGATGATGATGATCCCGAATCATACAAGGGGAGAGAAAAATAGAATCATTTTTTTTTCTTCTTTGGTTCAATATTCAATATTCTTCTTCGATTTTCTCATCATCATCATCGTAGAGCTTATTGTTTGAGCTCAATTTTTAAATATCAATTTATCAAAAAACTGGAGAAAAAGAAATTCTGACATTCATTTTTTTCCCTTACTTTCTCTAAACCCTGAACTGAAACTAACTGAATAATCAAATGTATGTATACATGGAAAATTGAGAAAAATATTAACTTATCGTTTATTTTGGGCCATGTCAATCGTTTTTCTTCTTGTGAAATTTATCCCGTTTATTTTTTTCCGTTAAATTTCAATCGTTCAATATCGTTTCTTTGATTTAACCATGTGAAAGAATGAGAAATGATTTACTTATTTCTTTCAGATTTTGCATAACGTTTGCATTTTTTGTTTTGTTGTTTCTAATGAAAAATAACAACAATAAACGCAAATATACCTTTAACTGAAACTTGCCATTTCAATGGCAAAACAATCAATTTTGCAAACAATCCGATTGAAATTCATCCGTAATGTTGTTAAATTTCAACTGTTTCAAATCATTTTAAACATGAAAAAAGTCAAACTTTTTCCCAAAATCTTTTGTTTTTCTGGCTTTGTTTTCATTATCTTATCGTAAAGATTTTTCGCTATCAACTATATAAATCTTACTTATCTTATCTTAATCTTCGTATTACTTGTTATTATTGTTTTATCGTTGTTAATATTGTTTTACCGTTGTTAATATTGTTTTACTGTCGTTATTATTGTTTTGGTTATCGTTTTATTGTATTTATCGTTATGTCTTCAAATGAAAACGCTGTTATAAAGGTTTTAAAGTTGAGTAATGCGACCTATCGCCAATGGTACGATACATTGGTAGATGTTTTAGAGGCATTGGATTTAGATATGTATATTAATGAATTTAAATATGAAAATCGTTCGCCGGAAAATCCAATAACTGGTTTACAAAAGAGCAAAATTGCGAAAGTTCGTAATATTATAAAGCAGTCTTTGGGTAAAGAAGACTTGGAAAGTATTTTAGATTTGAAGAATCCTAAGGAAATGTTAGCGGAATTAGAAAGAAAATATCGTGGCCCTGGTGCCAAGTCAGCTTGGGAATTATTAAAGGATCTTGATTCGATCAAGTTTNGTTCTTTTGATGTCAGATCAAATGTAAATGAATCATCGAATGTCATCAATGATGCTGATAATTTTATTTCTGTCAGTGAGTCATCTGAGGGTGGCATCGATGTTAACAATGAAAATCGTCGTGGACCTGGTCGTCCTGTTGGATCGCGAAATCGTTTGTACCAACGTGATGAAGAACGAATTGCTTCTTTACGTCAATTGCCTAGTCGTTCTTTTGTTGGTGTTGGTGTTCAAAGTAAAGTCATACAAAGTCATACAAACAATAATTTATTTCGTAATTGTGATTCAATTTTACGAAATGTTTGTGTTTCAAGTTTTTGTAAAGTATGACTTAATTCTAAATAGGGGGGAGTGTTGTAGTATATTTAGAATTTAGTAATTGAATTATACTTAGATTAATATAAATATGTGAACACTTGAGTTAAATAAAGCTAAGCGTAATTCGTATCAAATTTTACTCTGTCCAATATGAACAGATCATTAAGTTTGATTTTTTGGGTCCAAAACAAAACAAAAGAATTGACCATTTTCCATCAATAAATGATTGATTGATTTTGGATTTTTTTTAAAGATTTTTTAGAATCTGGCTAAAAAAATATCAACATTGATTCAGTTTTTTTGTTTTGTTTCTGGATAAGACCATCGTGTGTGTGGACAAAATTGTATTCGCTAACTTTAACGTCAAAAATAAGTTTGTTTGAACAAATCTTTTTTATTTCTCAGGAATTTTTCATGATATTAAATGAAACCTTTCCCCTTCCAAACAAAACAAAACAAAACATTTCATACAATTACAGTGCCATCTGTATATGTAATCTTCATTTCCTTCTTTCTTTCTTTCTGTTGATTTTTAACGTTAATATCTTTTTAGATAAAAAAAATGATTACGTTGATGATGATCTGGGATGCTATTAAAACAAAACAAAAAAAATATTAAAGATTTATAAAACCAAAAAAATCGTATACAACTAATGAAGAAAACCAGAAAAATAGTAACATTTGGTCATTTGATGGTAAATGATTAGTAATTTAGTTTTCTTAAATGAAAATCTTTGATTTTAACATCCAAAAAAAACAAAACAGAAAAAAAAATTTGATATTTGCAATTTGCAATTTGATATTCCATTTGATATTGAGCAAAAACAGAAGCAAACATATCAAAATCGGTAACAGAAAAAAAATCATAAATCGGAAACCATATCAAAATCGGTAATTGAATTGTGTGTAAATACTGCATGTGTGTGTGTGTGTGTCTGTGTTTGTTTATATTATTCATCGGCAAATGAAACGGAAACCTTTACTATTATTTGTTCAAGTTAGTTTTGTTCAAGTTAGTTTAGTTTTGTTTTGCTCATTTTATTTGATTGAAATCAATAATAGAGTTAATAATAATAATAATAATAATTTTCTCTCTCAACATGATGACCATAATATTATTATTATTATTATTATTTTTTTGATTAACATTATTATTCAAGCATTCTAAATACGGTAAGAAAAATGTAGGAAGAAAAAGGAATGAAAAACAAAAATAGCAATCCAGTGTGAGGGTAAAATATTTAATAAGTTTTTTTTATATTATTGAATATCGAGTTCATCGATATGTTGTTGATCGGATCGGATCGGATCTAATCGAATCGGTCAATCGTTTTTTGTTGTTGTTGTTGTTGTTGTTGTTTTTGGATGAAAATATTCAATAAAGTTTACTTATCAAACTAACGCTTAACTACTTACCATAATAGACACTGTATATATTCGGATATATTAATAGAAACCCATATATAATTCAGAGAAAAGTATGATGATGATGATGAAGCAAGAATCATCAATCATTTTTATCTATCTATAATAATTTGAATATTTCAATTATATACTGACTTAACACTTATTGCTACGAAATATGGTCAAAATAATCAATCATATAATATCATCAATAATGTGCAACAAGTTGTTCAATTTCAATAAATTTTGGCTGACTGACTGATCTGACCAGATTCGAAAATGAAAAATTTCAAGAATTTTTTTCCTGTGTTTAAAATTCTGAATGTTTTTCCAATGATGTTCAATGATTTTTTTTTTAAATTCAAATCACAGTGATCATCAATTGCATAATTCAACACACACAAACACACAAGAAGAAAATATTTTTGTTGTTGTTGTTCATTCCGCCCATTTGTTGTTATGTTCTGTCATCTGTCATTATTACTATTATTTAAAATGGATTGTTTGTTTGTTTGTCAGTCATTCGTTGACCATTTTCAATGGGAAAAAAATATTCTACATTGTCAATCTCTACTATTCTGTTCATACTTTGGAATCCGTGAAAAAAATGGCCCAAAAATTCTACTGATTTTCATTATCATCTCATTATTGACGATAAAAAGAATTTAAAAAAAAACATTTATTTTGAACATACAGATCATCATATGAAAATACTAATAAAATCAATTGCCAAATTATCACATGAAAAAGATTTCTAGATCCAGTTTATTCTGTTTTCGTTGTTGTCGATCATCGTTTTATTATTATTATTACTATTATTCTGGGTTCTTTTTTTTTATCTTTCAAGACTTTTATTATGTTCAGTTATTATTCAAGTATATCATGTGAATAATATATACTTGAAAATCATCATCATCATTAATAATAATGTTTGTTTGAAATGAAATTGATAAAATAGAACATAGAAAAACGACAGAAATCTTCACATCTTCGCATTACATGTAAACACTTGAAAGAAAAAAAAATATATCGGAAAAAAAAGAAGAAGAATCGAAATAAAATTTTTTTTTCCTTGTGATAATGGGTGATATATAAATACACTTTATGTTGATAGTCATCATCATCATCATCATTGGATCATCATTGATAAAAATGATTCCATGATGATGATGATGAAGATGACAGTGGTTTTTGCGCATAACAATCAATGCCAATCCAATGATTCTATTACCGAATACCACCACCACCACCACCACCACGAATTATGATTCAAAATTAGTTGCGCGCACCGAACCGACAGACCGACCACCATCAAATTCTTCACTAACAACTTTGGAACAGTTTCAGTTTTTATTTTTTCTTTTTATTTCGTCGGTTTTTTCCCAACATAAAATAAACTTCCAAAACAGAAAAATCTGACATTTGCCTTGCTTTTTTCTATTTTCTCTCGTTCTATTCTCTGCAATTGTGAATCACTAACACAACACACAGAATCTCTCCAAAAAAAATAAACTATTTAAACAATGTTTGTTTAATAATTTTATTCTAGTCTCATTTGAGGCGTTAATCTTCAATGAATTCTGTCATTTCATTACACACATAGAATACATATATCGATTATCAATTGATCCGAATTAATTGATGGACAATAATTTTCGAATGACATAATGATTTCAATATGTAGCTTGTCGGTGTGTGTCGCCTGTTTTTTTTTGGGAGGCTAATTCTAGTCAATCAATTTAAAATTGATTTTTTTCCGGGTGATTTGATTGTTTTTCTTGTGAAAAAAAATTTTTCATTTTCAAATTATAATTGATTAATTTTTCTTTTTTCGAAAATAAAAAAAAAGTGAATTTGAGAGGCAACAAAATATTGGTTTTAAAAAGATATTTTCCCATTCAACGACCATTATCAATCTTCATCATTGTCATTATCATCGATTGTGATTCTGTTGTTGAACACCACCATCATCATTATTATCATTTTTTTAAATTCATTATTTGATTGTTATCAATGTTTCATGTTTGATCTGATTATTCAATGATTGAATTGTGTGAAAAAATTTATTTTTTGTTTGTAAAATTATGGTCAAGTGAAAAAAAGTGTGTTTCGAAATCAATAAAAAACAAACCCTATAAATCCATATGTGTCCAACGATATATCGAATTACAACAACAATAACAACAACAACAACAAGCCATGTCGTTGTCGTCTAATTTTGATATTTTGGCTCAAAATTTATTAATAAATTTTCTAAGAAATGCTAGCATCTTGAATAATGAACAAAAAAATAATTCCATTACAAATACAACAACGACAACATTGGCCAAAATACATAATCTTTATGATTATCATTATTATAATGAAAATAATGAGGATAATATTGCTGAAAAAATGCCAACAGCTAGTTATTTTCGTCAAATACAACAACAACAACAACAGAATCAATATCGACCAACAATATCAAATTCAACAACATTTTTATCCGATTTTTTTGCTCAAATGGCCGATACTGGATATGATTATAATAATAATAATAATGTTGAAAATGATAAATTATCAAATTTTTTCGAATCTAGTGATACAATTAATAACAACAACAATAATAACATTATATTTGATAATATAGATAATGGCGATATTGGCGATAATAATGATAATACAACACTTGTTGATAAATTATATCTTGGCCATTTTATAATTGCCATAATTTTAGCATTAGTTATTTTGGCTACTGTGATAGGAAATTTATTAGTAATTGCTGCTATTCTATGTGAAAGACATTTACGTTCAGTTGGCAATTATCTAGTATTTTCATTAGCATTTGCTGATTTAATGGTTGCTTGTTTTGTAATGCCATTTGGTGCCATCATTGTTGTTATGGGTAAATGGACACTTGGTGCAAATCTATGCGATTTATGGACAGTTGCCGATGTATTATGTTGTACAGCATCTATTCTACATTTACTTGCTATTGCATTGGTATGTTATATATGGAATTGAAAATGTTTTTTTTTTGAATCACATCATTTATAATCAATCACCCGAATACCGAACGATTGAAATAGCAAAAAAAGAAAAAAAAACAGAAACCCAAATAATCATTTAGTCAAACAGATTTTGCAAAACAAAAAAAAATATTGCATGTTTAGAATATGAAAGAAGAAATCAATGAAGAAAATCAACATTCACAATTCAAACAAAAAGATCATTCATTCTGGATCAAAAAAAACCAACCGAAAAAAAACAGCAACAATTTCAATTCAAACCAAATTTTTTTTCATTAATTTCTTATTTACAACATTGATTTTATGCCAAACATTTGGCCACAATAATAATCAATTACAATATGAATGTTTTGAATAATTTTAAAATCATCTTCATCATAAAGAACAAGTTTATAGACATAGTTGAAATAGACATTCATTCAACAAAAAAAAACAAACTGATCAATGATTTTGATTAAAAAAAACCATTCCTGAATTCTAGAATAAACATAGACAAAAAGTAAACATCTTTGGAAATCTATTTTATGAATTCCATGACTAAATGAAATGAGATTCTGCAAGTTAATTTGAATATATGTGTATTTTTTTTCTCCTGGAAAATGATGTCAAAGCAGAAGAAAGTTATTATGATAGAATTTACTATTACGAAACGAAGAAAACATATGAAATAATGTACCGAATTACAATGAGTACAAAAGAATGAATAATATTCTTATGTTCAAAAGAAATGTTGATACAAGCTGATTGATGTATATTTCAAAAAACATCAAGCGCGACATTTTTAAAACAAGAATTTTTTTTCGTATTGATAATGATGAAAAAGTATGCTTATAAATCTTATGAAATCAAACAACAAAACATGTGTAGAGACTAAATTAAATTTGTAATCATTTGTTTTGTTACAATTTCGCATAACAAAATTCAAAACAATCATCATGCACATATAGAAACATTACGAAATCAACAAAAAATCAAGTTTAAAAAAAATCAATTTGAAATTCTCTATTTTTTTACTTTTTTTTCGCTTTCACTTTTTTCATTTTCATTTTCATTTTTTCATTTAATTTATTTATAGGATCGTTATTGGGCTGTAACCAATGTTGATTATATTCATCAACGTCGTAATGGTCGTCGTATTGGTATAATGATATTTTTAATATGGTTTGTTTCATTAATCATATCGGTTGCACCAATACTTGGTTGGCGTGATCATGAATTTTATAAACGTATTGAACATAAACAGTGCCTTTTATCACAAGATGTTACCTATCAAATATTTGCTACATGTGCTAGTTTTTATCTACCATTATTGCTCATTCTATTATTATATTGGAGAATATTCAAGGTTAGTCAAATGGCTGGTTTATTATTATTATTATCATTAGTTTTTATCCACTTTAAAATATTATTTCATTTTATTTTATTTTTTCGCAATCTTCCATTATTACAAAATACATTGAGTCAACCGAATCAAAATTCAAAACTCAAATTGAAAAAAAAAGACTAATAGAAATCATCGACATGATGATGATGATGACAAACAAAACGAATAAAATCAACCATAATAATATTAATATTTTATTAATATATAAAAACAGGAGAATTCTTCCTATTATTATCATTACTTGGTTGCCTAGTTTGAAATGAAACATTACTCTAATCGATTATTATTATTGGTCTATGATGGTTGCTACAAATAAAATACAAAATAGAAAATATTACAAAGCTAATTGATTATAAATGAGTTTTTCGTGTGCATAAAATGTTACAAATAGCTACTATTACTGATTTCATAGAATTCTACAAATACGGTAGCAACCAATTTATTCACTGGAGACAATCAAAAATGAAATGATAAAATAGGAATCGAAAGTTTTCTGTCTTTTTTTTCTGTTTTCAATTAGAATCAAAATCATTTTTGTTTCTTTCTTCGTTTTGTTTTCGATTCTTTTTTTTGATTCTTGTTTCTTTACTGGCGACAAATACAACGACCACCATATTAAATTTTTCTTTTTAACACTTCGTTTGCTTAAAGGATTTATGAAATTTTGTTGTTGTTGTTGCTGTCTGATTTTTGATTTTCATTTCATCCAAAAAGAAAAAAAATCTTTTGTTGATACAACAATTAAGAGCTTTCGTAATCCTTGAAATATCTTTATTTGAACAGAAATAAAGACAAAAACTAATGAATCATTCATTCATTCTTGTGAATTTTGAATCCAATTTGAATTCTGTATCCAAATTCTTTAGTTTTCAGTTTTTTGTCATTCATTCATTATAATCATTATATTCATTGTTATATGGAGAATCTCTAGAGAATCTCTTCCGATGATGATGATGATGATGATTTGTATTTGATATCACGTCATCATTTTTTCATGTACTTTTTGAATAATTTTCATTGATTGACTGAATTTTATTTTTTATTCAAGATTCTCTTTTTTTTCAATGATTTTGTATGGCTTTTCGTCCTCCGCTATAAAGAGTTATATTAAGTAAATTAATCACTATCGTTGTAATTTGTGTTGAATGAAGTGGATGAAATAATCATTCTTCTGTCATCGGCAAAAAAAACTAAAACGGAAGCCAAAAAGAAACAAAAAAATCACACAACCAATAAGAAATAAAGAGAATTGAATCGTAAATTGACAAATACGATATAGATAAGTATACTTATTTAGATGAACAGAACGGATTGATTCAATCATTTATTGTCAAATTCTTGATTCTTTAACAAGAAAAAAAAACAAACATTTATTTAGTCAACATATAAAAGAAAGAAAGTATTTTTTTTCAAACATTATTTTTGCTTTAGTTTCAATTTTTTGTTGTTATTGTTGTCTGTTTTCTGTTTGTTTGCCATTCTTCATTTGAAACAAAGTTTGATTAATTTTGTTTTGTTTTGTTTTGTTTTGTCTTTCCCAAACACTACTTAAATATAATTTGATTTCATCATCATCATCATCATCTAAACTATTATGATTTTAGCTCTATTATTTGTCATCATCTTCTACACACAATTGTCTAACGGTACTCTCAGTGTTAAGTCATCATCATCATCATCTTCATTTGAAATGTGGAACCCAAACCATAATGAGAGAATGACAGGCCGAACAAAAAAAAAAGTTTCAAAATTCTTTCTTCCTAATATATTTCACACTAATGCCAACAATGATAATAATGATGATGACAGTTGTGTGTTTGAAAAATATATTTTGTTTGTTGTTTATTTCATCCATTCATTCTTCGTTCTTCACTATATTTCATTAATGTGAATGTAATTTTGAAACAATGAATTTTCTCATACATTAACGACAGTTTTTCTGTTTGTTTCGAGTGTTTATTTCGTCTAAAAGTCACCAAAATAAAAAATAATGATAATCCTTATTTTTATCTTCATTGCACGATTTTGTAATAATGATAAAGATTGATATAAATAACTATTTTGTTAGCCATTATACATAAGAATATCAAGAATCACATATTTTTTTCCAATATCCTATGTGGAGTAGGATGATAATGAATTCAAATGCAAAGAATTTTGTTAAAATTCTTAGCTAATAAACACAATAATGACAATGATTTTGGATGGAAAAAGAATGGAAATAAAAAAAAATTCATTGTAATGCTGATGTAATGTTGAAAAAATTATTCAATTCTTGTTTGTAGTGTTTTGTTTTTGTTTTGTTTTTTTCAAAAAATATTTTATTCTTATCTTTTGAAACATGTTTGCATTTAAATTGTATGCATGAATTTATCGATGTGTGTGTGTATCATGTCATGTTCCATTTACATTCTCCATTTCACTTCAAAAAAAAATTTGCTGGATTTTTTTTCACAACAACAATTCTGGTGTGTGTGTGTTTGCATACGTTTTGTTTTTGTTTTGTTTTCGGCGTAAAGAAATTAAATTCGGTTACTATTTTTTTTTTTCGTGGCCAGCTTTTACATTTGATAAGATGCAATATGGTTGGTTGGTCGGTTGGTATGTTTTTGTTTGAAAATTTTTTTTACCAAACAAAATTTATGCTAATAAGAATCACTGATGTTTATATAATTCATGTTTGCATTAGTTTTATTATTATTATTATTGTTTGTTTGTTGCTGGGTTTTTTTTTCGTTGCTCATTTTTTATTCTGGTCTTGTTTTTTTTATATATTCATAATATGAATGTAATATTGATTCTTTGTTATTTTCATCGAGCATCTTTGTTATTTTTTTTACGGTTGTTGTTATTCACTATATTCAATTATACGGTATTTTGTCGATTCAAGACTTTTTCTGTTTTTGCTTCTTCTTACTGCATTTAGAAATTTATGTTTTTTTTTCTTTCATCAATAAAACCGGTAAAAATCAATGCAACATTTTTGTTCAAAGAAACATTTGAATGAGAATTTATCTAGGAAAAAAATTGGAATATTCAAACGATTTTTTTTTGCTGTTCGACAAATGATAATGATGATTATGGTAATGTCAAATGTTGTATATTATGACCAGAGGCATTTAGTATTTCAATGCAATTTGGAAAGATATTTTCAAGCATCATTCAACAGGACCAAAAACGCCAAAATGACCATCATCATCATCATTGACATTCAGCATTTTTATTTTTATGTTTTCCTAAGTGGTTTCCAATGATTGGTTGATTTGAAAACAAAACAAAAAAATGTTTCAGCAAAACGAAATGCATGTGAATTTTTTTTGTTGTTGTTGTTGTTTTTTAATCTATTCTGTATGTTTGTTTACTTGAATTAAAATTCATTGATTAACTGAATTTGCAAACAACAAAATAAAAAATAAAAAACATTTTCATTTAAAAAACATTGGACATTTTTCTGTATTGGTAGTTATAAATTTATTTCGACAACGAATTTCGATAATGACAACAAACAAAAAAACAAAAAAAACAAAAACATTAATTTCAAGACAAGCAAATAGAATTCTTCGTTAGTTTTCTCCGTTTCTATACAGTTATTATGTTTTCCCAGCCCAAAACATCCTAATGAGATGAAATGAATGGAAAATGGATGTGTTTTTTTCTGTTTTGTTTCTTTAATAAGTTTTTTTCTCTCTTGTTATTTCTAAATTTTATTCGTTTTATTGAATTTCAAATGATAACAATAATTACAAATTTATTCTCTCTCTTTCTCTCCCTTTCAAAACAATAACTTTTTTTCTGGTTGAACAAATTGTCTGTTGGTTATAAAAAAAAAGTTTCGATTGACATGAAGAATCAAATATTTTTAGCTACAATTTTGATAAGAATTTTCTTTTCTTTTTTTTTGAATGAACGAAAAAAAAAACTTTTTGGAAACTTTTTCAGTTGTTGAAAGAATGAAAAAAAAAATTTCAGATTCAAAATCAATAATTTTGAAAGCAAATAAGGAATTTTTCAATTTTTTTTCATTTGCTTAACAATCCTGATAAAGCTATTGCATCACTGTTTTTTTTAATGCATTTGTTATATTCTTATATTTCAATATATTTTGTTTTGAATTTTTTCCTTCATTCTTTTTCACTTCTATTGACCTTAGTCATTCAAAATATCAAATCACGAAAATAAAAAAAAAGAGGAAAATTTCTCAAAGCATAAAATCTTTATTCATTCAATTTTTTTCAAAGATAAAATTTGAATTTTTTTTGTTCGTTGTTAAGATTATTATAAAAGAATCCTTTGTTGTTTGTTTGTTTGTTGTATGGTACAATGGATTCCTTTTGAAAAAAATTTTCTTCTTTAAAAAACAAACAAAAGAAAGACACTGAATAACTCTTGTTTTCTTTCGGCTTCAAATAACAATGAAAATGATAACGAATTTTGGGTGACCAAATCAGATTGAATTAACGAATTGATGATGATGATGAAAAACAAACTTGGTTGGCTAATGATGATAAAATGATGATGATGTGATAAGCAAAATACTTTCACTACATTATATAATGATTGCCAAAAAATTGAAATTCATTATCACTTTTTTTGGTAATAATAATTATTATTTAATGTAGTACAAGGGGAGAAAAAAAAGGCGGAGAAAAGGCGTTATGCAAATTATCATTTATTTTTGAATTTTTTCTTTTCTTTTCTTTTTATCGTTGCATATGATAATAATGCTTACTTGTGGATTTATGATTTAATATGCATAAAGATAGCAGCAAAATTCTTTTGTATATAATCATCACAATGCAATTCATCTTCTTTTTTTTTAACAGCTTCCTAATGGAAAGTGAAGTGAGTTGTTGTTGTTGTTGTTGTTTTTGGACAAATCTTTTCCATAATCAGATATTTGTCGTCGTTCTTTTTTTGCATCACCATTATTAAATGCATTTAATAAAATGATAGAACACACAGAGAATTCCAAGCAAAATTCTATTACTTTTCTCTTTTTGTACTTCATATTCTGAATTGTTGAGAGAAAGATTTCCAACTAATAACCATAACAATCATCATCATCATCATCATCATCAACATTATTATTATAACTATGATTGTCAACGCGTAATTATTATTATTACGTTGTTTGTAAATCCAATATTCAACATTATTTGTCTTTACTATTGTTTTCGCTTTTTTTCTGGTTTTTAATTGTTGTTTGTTTAATTGCTTGTAATTTAGTTGACAATTGCTTATAGTGATTTTCAAATAACAACACTTTTTCACTTCTCATCAGGCTTGAACAACCAAAATCATAATGAAAGTTTTATTTTTCATTCAAATCTAATTTATGAATAAATTTTTTCTTTTTTTCATTTCATTTATTCAGGTTGCACGGAAAAGAATTCGTCATAAACCGGGTAATAAAGTATCATTGATTGCATTGAAATCATCAACAAAAACTGGACAAACATTAACTATTAAAAATGTACCATTGAATGAAAATAATAATGATAATTATCTATCATCATCAAGTGCCAAAAAAATTAAACCAAAATTTAATTTACGAAAAAAATTAGCAAAATATAGTCAAGCTGAATATTTACAAGAAAATAATCGTCCAACATCTGATATTATTTCACATAATGTTGATATGTTATGTATTGATGAATCTATTGATAGCCAAGAATCATGTATGAGTGCCAATCCATTGACAGATGTTCATCATCAACATCAACATCATCAACAACAACAACAACAAAAACCAAGACTACCTCCGTCCATTAAATTTCCGGCCAATAATCAAAATATTATTAATAATAGATCATCATCATCTACACCAACTGAAGAGAATTTTAATCATAATAAAAAATTATCAATTACATCAACGGCCAAAACAACAACAACAACAACAACACATTTAACATTGACTAGTTATGAATCATCAACTGATCCAGATTTATCTACAAATCCATCTCATCATTTAGGCGGTGGAAATATGATGTTAAATAAAAAAGATCATCATCAACAAATCAAACAAAATCCTGATTGCTCAATCATAGCCGAAGAAAGTTCAAGTTCGGCAAATTCATCTGCTACACAACCATTATTACAAATTAAACATAAAAATCATGATGAAGAAGAAGAAGATGATGATGATCATGTTGCTGTTCGTGATGGTGGTGGTGGTGGTAATGATTATGATGATGATCGACGTCCACTTACATCGTTCAAAAACAACAATAATATAACTAATTCTCAACGACAACCAATGATGATATGTAATAAAACAACAGAATCAATGTTGAATGTATATAAAAATAAAAATAATAATAATAATAATGATTGCTTTGATGATGATCATACAGACAGAATAATGATGATGATGATGATTCATCATAACGATGCTAATCATTTTCAAAATGAACAAATAAATATTCAGAATAATGTATCAAAACCAACAACAAATAGGATTCATCATAATCATCACCATCATCATGAAACTGAAACTGAAACTGAAACTGACACTGATAATGGTCATATTGTTGAGATTGAAAGCAATCAAATTATGAAAAATAGAAATAATAATAATAATAATGATATTAGAATAGTGAAACAAATAATGGTCATCAACAATGACCCTGAACATAATAATAATAATAATAAATCGATCGACCAACAGACTATTATTGATCGAAAAAAATCCAATAAATTTATATCATCGTATGGTGATCATGATGATGATGATGATGATAATGATTCGCTTGTGGTTAATGTAGATCTTGAAAATAACCAGCAACAAAAAGTACAAAAAATTAACAAATATTTGTTTCATGAAACAACAGCCACCAACAATAATAATGATAATGATAATAATAGTGATAATAAATGTAATAAGATTATCAACAAAAATGAATATAATAATAATGATGATGATGATGCAGATGCTAACGCTGTTATTGTTGTTGATATTAATAATATTCAACAAATAGAATCATGCATCAACGACAATGTTATAGATAAAATGATAGACGCAAATCATCAACAAAAAAAGCAACATTATAATGTTAATGATCATAATCATCATCAAAATTATCAAAATAAAAATTCTATTGTTGTTACCAGAAATGTTTCAAGTGATAATAATGAACGTAATAATAATGATGATGATGTTCAAATAAACAAGTGCCAACAACAACAACAACAACAACATGGATCATTTAAGGAATCAGTAACACAATCGAATCAACAACAAATTAATAATAATAATAATAATTCAATTGCCAATAATGAAAAAATGATTATTATTAGTGATAATTTGATAACAACAAATAATGATGATAATGAAAACCCCATCAATAATTACCATCATCATTTAATTCATTGTGAAGCTAATGTTATTAATAATGATACTAATGATGAAAATGATGTTTCAGTTTCTAATCAAACTGTGCCAAGTTTTTCTTCTTCACCACCACCACCACCACCATCAATAAAAAAACCACCTACTACTCAAAATGAAACGACAATTTCAAGTAATCATCATGATGATCATCAACAACAACAACAACAAAAACATCAACTATCACAACAATCGATAACAAATTTTACAAAAACTCCTTCATCCATATCGAAAACATTAAATCAACTACATTTAAATCATGATCATCATCATTATAATCATCATCAACAACAACAACAACATTATCAACAGCAAAATAAATCACATCAAAAAGAATCTGTAGAATCAAAACGTGAACGTAAAGCAGCTAAAACATTGGCAATCATTACTGGTAAGTGTTTTTGTCTTTGTTTTCTTGTCTTTATCATTATCATCATTTCTTTCTCACTGTAAACGACAGCTACAATTGATGATTCTATTCATTGTTCTTGTTGTTTTTCGTCCGGGATAAAAACAAAACTAAAATACCTAACAAATAGAATAGATAACATCTAATAGGAAACTTATTAAGATTACCAACAAAATCTTACACAAGAATTTTGTGGCACCCGTATCAAAGGTGTCGATAAAAGTTTTTTTTTCCTTTCTTTCTTTACACATCTTTTTTTTCCAAAAATGAAAATATATAATGATAGTTTATGTGATGAGTGAAAACAAAAATAGATAAATCGAATGTATTGATCAAAAAAAAATAAGATATATTTTTTTCACATTGGCACAACAACAACAACAACAAATCTTTCAATTTGTTTTGGGCATCATATGTCCAACCAGACAAACAAACAAACAAACAAACACACATCATTTTGACAGATGTTTTCTTCGTTCCAGAAAAAAAAATAATCGTATTGACATCGATATATCAATATATATTGTATATAAAATGTAGAAAATATTGGCATTTTTTCTCTCGACTGGAACAATACAGATTTTTTGTTTGTTTGTTTGTTTGTTTGAAGATTGAAAACAATAATGAAAATAGTATCTAAGAATCTGATATTTATTGATTATGTTATGCCTTTAGCTTTTTTTTTGTTTTTGTTTTTTTGTTATTGAAATGATTGCTGTTTTCAAATAGCCATTTATTTTCGATATATCTGATATGTATGTGTGCATTGAGAATGTTTGTTTGAGAATAGCAAGAAAAAACAAATGTCCATTCACTTTTTGCTTCAGGACAATTTATTTATGACAGATTGTATTATCCTTTTTTATTTGTTTATATCAATCCATCCATCCATTTGATGATGATTTCGGAAATTTTTCAATATTGGAATGATTATTGTTTTTCTGTTTGTTGTTCAAATACAAATGTTGAGAAAATTGTCATTCAATGTGTGTGTGTGTGTATTGTGGGATTAAATGAAAGATTTGTTTATGAAACAAACAGTTTTTGTTATCATTCTCAATGCCTGTCACCAATTTGTCAATTTTGGTGAACAACAACAAAGAAAAAATCGATAATAAAAATCAATTGAAAATTTGATGATTTTTGTTTGTTATTTTCAATGCAAAAATGATAGCTGAAATATTTTGGTAATTGAAACTATTTATAATTATCAATCATAAATATGAGTGCCAAATTGATAAAGTAATTCATTTATTTTGTTTTTGTTCATTTTTTTCTTTGTTTTGTTTGCATTGTAGTTTATCTAATTCCAGCAGGCAACTAATTAGATTTTTTTTTTGTTTTGTTGTTGTTGTAGAAAACATAATTATACAAATGTGAAAATTTCACTGAACAAAATCAATTTCCCTTTTTTTTATCGTATACAAATAACAACAACAACAACAGCAGCAAATATCATATACAGAAAAAAAAATTCTTTCCATTTTTTATCATTGTATGAATGTGATATGAAAGTGGAAGAAAAAAAAAATCATGCAGTTATAGAATCTTACCTTTTACACTCAATTCAATTCAATTTATCGTTGACTATAGTGAAAATTTTTTTCAATTATCTAAAACTTGATTCAATTTTCTGATTTCCATTTATTTTTTGTTGTTGCATACAACAAAAAAAACACACATTCACATTATACACGTTAAAAAAAGCCAAGGTTAGATAAACAACAACAACAACAACAAAGACATGAAAAGATTATTATTCTGTTGTCCCTGTTGTTCATTTTTTTTCTGTTGCACCCCACAAAAAAAATAAATACCAGCATCATCTATTTCTTTTCATACATTTGATTCTTTTGATTGTGCATCAAGGTGTTGTTGAATGTGTGTGTGTGTTTTTGTCTATTTAGATTCTGCATTATAATGAAGAAGAAGAAAAAAAACATTTTGAATCAAATGAAATTTATATAATAAGCAAATTTTATTTTTTTTGCTTCGTTTTTTTTCACTTTTCCATGCGTATTATCATTTGTAAAGCTAATTAAATGCTAATTTTCTTCTTTTTTTAATTTATTTTCTTCCTTTACCACACTATACACTTTCATATTTGGGTTTTCTACACTTGTCATCATCATCATCATCATCATTGAATTGATTACACACGGCTTTGAATACACAGG